GTGTGCACCACCAAATCATGGCTCAGTGTGGTAAGAACTTAAAACCTAGACTGGAGAGGTGGCTCGGTGACTCTGAGCACTCACTGGGTATCAAGTTCAACTCCCAGCACCCAGAGTGGCTCACAGCTCTCTCGTCACAGCAGATCTGATGCCCTCCTCTGGCCTCCATGGGCATTGCACACGCATGGCACACAAGATATATATGAAGGCAGACACCCATACATGTAGAATTAAAACAACAAACTGGAGAGATGGTACAAGCAGTTGGGAGTGATGGCTGCTCCTCTACAGGTCCTGAATTCAATTCTCAGCATCCACATGGCAGTAAACAACTGTCTATAACTATAGTCCTATGCAACCCAACACCCTCTTTCGGTGTGCAGATATACATGCAGACAAAACACTCAAATATGTAAATTACATAAATCTTAAAATGAACATATAACTTAACCCTAATTGGTATTTTAAAATTTAAGACAGCTTTCCATGATTTAACCTTGGCTGGACTAGAGTTTCATACATTTTGTCTGTTTTTCCAGTTTCTTGCTGTAGTCCTAGAACTTGATTGGTAGACCGTGCTGGTCTCAAACTCACAGAGATCTGCCTGCCTCTCCCTCCTGAATGCTGGGATTAAAGGCGTGAGCCACTGCCCCAACCTGGCAGTTTTGTGTTTTAATTATTTCGTTGCCTGACAATTTCATATATGTATATAATATACTCACATTACTCTACCTCCTGTCCCTATCACCACCACCATCAGTCCGTTTCCCAGGTTTGTGACTTTCAGTTTTGTTTTGTGACTCAGTTTAAGTGGGGCCACATGTGTGACCACTGGAGCCTGTTGGGGCCACAAGTGAAGGGAGTTGACTTCCCCGCTCCCTGAATGTGAAATTAAGTTCTCTTCCACATTCAAGGCTTTTATGGCTTTAGCTTCTAGTTTCATCCACCCTATCCCAAGCTAGCCACAAACTTTCCATTCTCCTGCCTCCGCCTCCCAGTGCTAGGATAAGGTATGTACCATCACACACACAGCTCATCCTAGCCTTTTACCTGGACACTCCTTGCTTTCATTCCTGCTCGTGTTAAAGTGACAAAACACTTTGTTGCCCATGAAAGTCCCAGATCCCACCTTCCAAGGTTACCCATTCGGCACTCAGGAGCTCCACTGTTCTCTCTGGCCTTCCTGGAACATAGTTTATTATCTCCCCCTTCCTGATTTATTTCTTTTTTTTCCACTTGAATGGCTTATTATCTTAACGTGAAGCTTCTTTCCCCAGGTGATTTCCTGGCTATTTTATTTGTGGTTTCTTAATCTGTAAACTGGAAACCATCTCTCTCTAGTTCTCCAGAACACATTTGCTTAAAAGTGGATGGCCCAGGCTTACCTGTTTCACAATCCCAGAGACGACAGCTGTTGTCAGCTGAGCCAGTAAGGACATGCTTGGTGTCCCCTGAAGAAGGTGTTAAGAAATATGACTCTGGCTCAAGAAATGGCACAGTGGTTAAGAGCACTGGCTGTTCACCTAGAGGTCCCAGGTCAGAGTCCCAACCCCCATATGGTGGCTCACAATTCCACTTCCAGGGAATCAATGACCTCTTCTGGCCTCTGGGGGCACCAGACACGCGCGCGCGCACACACACACATAGTCAAATTATTTTTAGATACAGAATAAAATAAAAATGATTAGTGTTGGAGAGACAGATCAGTGGGTAAAGTGCTAGCTGTGCAACCAAGAGGACCTCAGATTGAATGCCTAGCATGCCCAGGGCGTGCCTGCGGGCCCAGTGCTGGGAGGTAGAGACAGGAAGTTCAGTGACTTGATGGCCAAGTCTGGCTACTCAGTTGAGCTCCAGATTCAGTGGTGAAAGGTTGTCTGGTTTTTGTCTCAAAAAAGATTGGTGGTGGTAGTATGTGTATGTGACTTTAATCCCTGCGTTCAGGAGGCAGAAGCAGTCAGATCTGTGAGTTCAAGGCCAGCCTAGTTTACAAAGCAAGTTCCAGGACAGTCAGGGTGATACAGGGAGATCCTGGGGGGGAGGGGGGTAGACACGACACGGGGGACGAGACTTAGAAAAATAGCATTGCTACTCTTCTCCAGGACCCAGTTTAGAGCCCCACCACCTACATGGTGGCTATTAGCTATTATTAAGCTGGCACTGCACAGATGGCACAGACACACATACAGGAAGAACACTCATATAAATAAAACTAAAGCTTTTCAAAAGAAAGAATGAGCCGGGCGTTGGTGGTGCACACCTTTAATCCCAGCAATCGAGAGGTAGAGATAGGTGATCTCTGTGAGTTCCAGGCCAGTCTGGTCTACAGAGCGAGTTCCAGGACAGGCTCCAAAGCTACAGGAGAACCCTACCTCAAAATAAATAAATAAATAAATAAATGTTTAAAAAAATTAAAAAAAGGTAGAAAAGTCATTGAAGAAAGACACTTGATGCTGACATCTAGCCTCCATAAGAACATGACCTGCATACACAGATCCATTACATACATACACACACACACACACACACACAAAATGACTAAGTCCACCCAAGCCCATGTTCTCTTGGAAGCCATCTAAAGTGTCTTGCAAAGAGCCTTCCTCAATCTCTTACCTCAGAATGTTCCCACCTTCAATCCAGAACTTAAAACTTGTCCTGTTTCCCCAACCAATGAATTACCTGAGAGTGGGGAGCCTTTCTCCTCAGAGCACCATAGCGTGTCAAACTCCCAGCCTCACAGTCAGCATCTCCAAGGCTGGCCAACCCACAGGAAAAAGGATACAGTCAGCATCCACACACCACACAGCTCCAGTATGGCCCATGTAGGTGCCCAGCCTCTCCCCATTCACGGAGTACCAAACATTGACGATCTGGAAGAGTAAAATGACTGGATGGGTCACACCCCAGAAAAAGCAATAGCTAATGTGACCCTACAAACCCTCTGTAGACTCTAGCCAAGCCGCATCTGCCTTCTACTCATTTATTAGATGAGAGCTGATAAAAGATGCTACCCAGTTTTCCTCTCTTCCTAAAGGTAAGCAATATTGACACTAGGCCTGCAATAGCATCCTTACTATCTACTTCTGTCTGGAATCAGCATCTCTCTGAACAATCAATGGCCAAAATGAGCTCCAGTCTTTTAAAAAACCACCTTGGTGTACTGTCCAGGCGGGACAGACGGCAGGAAGGATGTATGGGCTCTGGTGCTCCTTTGTCACGCTCACTGTGACTTCAGATTCAGGACTTCTGCCCTCCGAACTTTTAACTTTGGTTTTTGTTTTTCTTTTCTAGCTGTCCTGGAACTCGCTCTGTAGACCAGGCTGTCCTCAAACTCAGAGATCCGCCTGCCTCTGCCTCCCAAGTGCTAGGATTAAAGGACTGTGCTACCACTACTCAGCTAAGTTTGTCATCTTTTTGTTTTGTTTTGTTTCGAGACAGGGTTTCACTGTAGCTTTGGAGACTGTTCAGGAACTAGCTCTGTAGACCAGGCTGGCCTCAAACTCAGAGATCCGCCTGCCTCTGCCTCCTGAGTGCTGGAACTAAGGCGTGCGCCACCAACACTTGGCTAGTTTGTCATCTTTAAAAGGACTAGAGAGCTGGATCAGAGGTTGAAGAGCACTGGCTGCTTGTCTAGATGACCTGGGTTTGATTCCCAACACCCAGATGACAGTTCACAACCATCTGTAACTCCAGTACGAGGGGATCTGATACCCTCTTCTGGCCTTCTCAGGCAGGACGTATGCACGATGCAGATATACAATATAGGGAAAACACCCATACACATAAAAAAACATTCATTACATATAAAAATACATATTTTAAAGGGTAAGGACAAGTTGTGTGTGGTAGCACATGCCTATATTCCCAGGCCTGGGTGGCTGACATAGGAGGATGGCCAGCTCATAAAAATACCCCATTCTTGGCAACAGCTTTCTTTAAAGGGCAGCTGTGAAGCTCCAATAAAAGGTCTAAGAAACATAAAATGTAAGTGACTAACATACACCAGGTACAGTGAAAAACTGTTCACAAGAATGACCTCATTTTGTTGAGGGAGGTACTTAAAGTTCCATTTATATTAAAAGGAAAAATTGTAAATAAGAAAGGCTAAATGTCATGTTCAATGTCTCACTGCTAGTAGGTGCAGGAAGTTAGGACTCACATTAAACTCTGACTTTAAACTACCCAATGTTAACCATCAGTTAACTGTCTCTATGTGCAAATGCCTCCAAAGGCAGCACCCAAAGAGACTGCACTGAGAATCAACATGGGACTGAACAGACAAGACTAGGAACTGCCTCACTAAGTTCCACGTTTTTTTCCTCCTTATTGGTGCTAGGGATCCAACCCTGGGCTAGTCGCTTGTTAACCACTCTAGTCTGAACTACAACCCCAAACCCCCCATGACACAGCTCACTACCCATGGACCAACTTTATCCTCCAGACGCTAGAGGTTGTCTGTTCTGGTTCTTCCCATCCCCGAGTCATTAGAGCTGCTCCTGTCCCAGTCCCCAATCCCCAGCCCCCTACCCACAGTCTTATTTTTCTTATCCCTGGGCACTCTTTCCTATCAACCATCAATTTATCTTAGGTCTCTCAGGCTGAATGAGTTCGCTGCCCTACCCCACCCGGTAAGGGTCGTTTCCTCTGCTTTTCAGAGGAATTCCCCTCAGGCGGCAAAGCTCGTTCACCCACCGGCTGGAGGATGCAAACTCGCCCCTCCGGGTGCCCCGCCCTCCCGCCCCCGGCCCTGGGTCGCGCGGCAGCTCACAGGGTCTTTGGCCACGGTGAAGAGGAGGTCTCCTTCGCGGTTGTACTTGATCTGCGTGATGGACCGCTCATGGCCCTGCAGCAGAATGGGCTTCTGTGGGGACAGAACGGGAGTGTCAGTGCCGGGAACCCCGTCCCATCCCAACTGGGACCCCCAAGACCGGAGCACCACATGCCTGGAACTCACCATCCCGGCGGTGACGCGAGCAGAGAGGCAATGTGAGTGGGACCGGAAGAGGACTCGGGGCAACTTCCGGATACTGGGACTCCGCCCTCTGGCTCCCGGAAGTAGAAGGTCCTAGCGTTGCTATGGCGGCGTCTCTGGGTGGGTAGCGGGCCCCGCCCCTTCACGAGCACTGACTTTGGCTGGGGTCTCCTATCTCACTCCATCGGCACCCCTGATCCCCGGGCCTGCTAAGCCCTGGACGAAGTCACTTCCGCCACCTTCGGTGCGGGCTTCCAGGCCTAGCTCATCGCAGCGCGGAGAACGCGGGAGGGAGATGGAGACTGTCAGCAGGACCGGAGGAGGCCGGGGAGGGCCTGGGTGACTCTCTGCTCCTTTGCTTTCAGGGCAGGTCCTTGCTCTGGTGCTGGTGGCTGCTCTGTGGGGTGTCACGCAGCCACTGTTGAAGCGGGCCTCCGCCGGCCTGCAGCAAGTGCATGAACAGACGTGGGTCCGGCAGCTGTGGCAGGAGATGAAGACTCTCTTCTTGAATATTGAGGTGCGTCTGTAGACTGCTGCTCCCTCGGAGGAGCCGCTGAGCCGGAATCCCAGTCTACTACCTACTCACTAGAAGCTCCTGGAGGAGTCATTTATTCTCTGTGAGCCTCGGTATTATCATTGGTAAAATGGAAACTATATGATAACCTAAGTGTAGGGCAGATGTAATAATTCAGGGAGCTGACGGTGCTGACACACGCTTTTAACTCCAACACCCAGGAGGCAAAATTAGGCGATATCTGTGAGTTCATGACCAGCCTTCTACATAGTGATTCCCAGACAGCCAGGTCTACACAGAGATCCTGTCTCGAGAAACAAAACAAGGGGCTGGAGAGATGGCTCAGGGGTTAAGGGCACTGGCTGCTCTTCCAGAGGACAGGGGTTCAATTCCCAGCACCCACAGGGCAGATCACAGCTGTCTGTAACTCCAGTTCTAGGGCATCTGACACCATTCTGACCCTAGAAGGTACTGTCTGCACTTTGTGCACAAACATTTATGCAGACAAAAAAAACCCACTTATACAATAAAGTAAATTCAATACAAGGCTCATAACAGTTAAGTACAGTTAAGAAGTAAGCAATGAAATGGTTTTGTGGCTGGTAGGGTCTCCAGGACATGAGGAACTAACTGTATTAAAGGGTTGCGGTATTGAGAAGGATGAGGACTGTGCTAGAAGGTCAGGTAAGACTGTTGGGTGAGCAGGACATTGCTGACAGATTTCTCCTCTTTCTAGTACCTGATGCCCTTTCTCCTCAACCAAAGTGGCTCCCTTCTCTACTACTTGACCTTGGCATCAACAGGTGGGTCTCTGGCTTGGACCTCCTCTGGGGTGAAGGTCACATTTTGCCAACCTTGTACCTGTCAGGGGAGTAGGATAACTGTTTGTGACCCTCACTGCCCCTGTGAAGTGGTTATGAGTGTGTTATGATTTTGTGGCCAGGCACTAGGGCTGGTCTGACAGTTTCATGCCTCAACAGAAAAGGGAAAGGGAAAGTTCATTTTGCCATCATAAGTACTGATTTGTTTTATTTTGGGGTGGGGGGAGGGTGTGTGTGTGTGTGTGATAATTCTTTTCTTTTTAATAGTTTTATTTTTTATTGCATTTATTCTCTGTGTGTGTGTGTGTGTGTGTGTGTGTGTGTGTGTGTGTGTGTGTTTAGAGAAAGAGGCTTTAACCTTGTAAATTCTCTGATGAACTCAGATCATCAAATTTGATGGCAAGTGCCTTGACCCATTGAGCATCTCCCTGGCCCTTTTTTTTTTTTTTTTTTTCTTCTTTTTCTTTGAGACATAGTCTCACTGTCTGTCTAACTAACTCAGGCTTGTTTCCAAGTCATGATCCTCATTCCTGTGTGTGTGCCGAGTGCTAGGATTTTAGGTGTTCACCAAGCACCCATGTAAGTGAGGCTCTCCGATGCCTCTGAGCCCACTTTGCAACTTGCCTGGCCTAGGGCAAGCCCCTTACTTGATTCCTGGTTTATATAATGGGGCCTCATAGCATTGTGAAGGTTGATTCAACATGTGAGAAGAGTCTAGCACAGTGCCTGACATACAGCAGAGGCTCGATAAGTATAAATCTCCATTCTCCAAATGTTCTTTGACTATTCCTAATACATCAGATTACATATTTATGTAATGACCTTATGAAACAAGCATGCTTATCTTCACAAACTATAGCACTGGGCAATTTACAGCATGCTAATGCAAAGGGATTTGAAGGTGTGTATTAATGGCTATGAGCTGGGCACTCAGGATCTGAGGCAGGAAGATAGTCACAAGTTCATTGACATCCTGGGATACTTTCATTCGGGCCAGCCTTTCTCAAAATACCAACAAGAAGCTCTATGCCACCCCCAAGACTTGTGCTCTTAAACTTCTGCAGAAGTCCGTGCTGTGGTTTTGCCCATCCTAGACTCAAGAGCCCCAAGAGGACGAAAGGGCCTGGTAAGATGGCCTCCAGATCTGATATTTGAGTTTCAATTATCATAAGATTTTATTTAGTGGGCTGGGGATGTAGCTTATTTGGTAGAATGCTTACCCAGCCTGCATAAAGCCCTAGGTTAATCCTTAGCACCAAATAAACACTTCATGGTAGTTAACAACTGTAATTCTAATACTAGGAGGTGGAGGCAGGAGCAGAAATGTAATAACTTTATTAGGAGCAGCCTGGGGTACTTGAGAGCCTGTCCCACAAAAACAGAGAGAGAGAGCTGCACAGGGAAGGCATCCACCACCAAGGCTGGTGACCAGATTTTTGACCACCACATGCATCATACATGCATAAAAGCAAAACACTTATGAACTTGCTCTGTAGACCATGCTGGCCTCGAACTCACAGAGATCTGCCTGCCTCAGCCTCCCTAGTGCTGGGACTAAAGTTGTGTACCACCAATGCCCAGCTGAACATAAAGAAAAGAAAGAAAACAACTAAGCTGATCTCAGATGTCAGAGGTCCAGTGTTCATGCTCCGCTCTGACGAAGCCCTGAAGGAGCAGGAACTGTGGCTTCCAGGCACATGTACCTTCATCTCTTCATGGAAAAGGGAGTTCCTTTTCTCCTGTTTGTTTGAAACGGCTTCCTTGTAACCCTTGCTGGCCTTGGTAGAATTCAGTTTGCAAACCAGGCTGGCTTTGAACTTAAAGCAGTCCTCTTGCCTCTGCCTCCTGTGTGCTAGGAGTACAGCTGTGCACCTCCTGCTTGGCCTTGGTTTGGGTTTGATCTTGTGAGTGTGGCGTATGGAAGAATGCATGCTTGTGTGTGTGGAAGCTAAGGCTGATGTTAAATGTCTTTCTAAATTACCCTCCCCTCTGGTGTTTGAGTCAGGGTCTCTCATGGTTGTCCATCTGCTGGGCAGCTCGCTCCAGGGTCCCACCTATCTCTGCCACCCCTACCTCCCAACACTTAGGTTACAGAACATTCTGCCTGGCCCAACTTCAACACAGGTGCTGGAGTGGTGCAAACTCATGGCGGGGAATTTAGGAATTTACTAACCAGCATCTCCCCATGAACTCCCCCCATACACACCTTTTAATAAAGTCTTGCTATATGGCCCAAGCTGGTCTCAAACTTGAGATCTTCCTGCCTCAGTTTCCTGGTTGCTAGGACTATGGTTTGTTCCCCAATGTCTGCCTCATGATACTCAGTTTTACTTGCTTATTATTTTTGAGACAGTATCTTACTGTATAGCCCCAGCTGTCCTAAAATTCCTGAGTAGACCAGGCTAGCCTTGAACATGCAGAGATCTGCCTCCAGAGTGATGTTTATTGTTGTTGTTTTTTCTTTTTATTTGTTTGGTTTGTATTTCTGAGGCAGGGTTTCTCTGTCCTCGAACTCAGAGATCCTCCTGCCTCTGCCTCCCAAGTGCTGGAATTAAAGATGTCACCACCCTGACCCCTAGAGTGATTAGGTGTACTTCCATGTCTGTTTTGTGCTACTTCTGCAAAGTTGATGATGCTTGTGATGATGACGATAAGGAAGAAGAGGAGGAAGAAGAAATTTTGCAAATATTTTGACTCTAGAAAGGCATTCTTTGCATCTAAGGATTTTTCTTGTTGACTTCCTAGATTTGACTTTAGCTGTGCCCGTCTGTAACTCTCTGGCCATCATCTTCACACTGATTGTTGGGAAGGTCCTTGGAGAAGATGTTGGTGGAAAACGTAAGTCAAGCTGCTACATGCCAGGGGAAGCTGCTTGGGCCTTGACCTATGTGAGCATTTCCCCAGGCCGCCCTCCGTGGGTGGGAGAGGCTCCCTTATCTTGCCCGTTACTCTGCAGCAGCTCCCCACTGCAGCAGCTTCCCCTGGGCAATCTGGGTGAGAATCAGGAGCTGGAATCCTCAGTCTTCTTCCTTGGCCCTGCTCACCCCCAGCCCCTTGGTGTTTTCTCTACTTTAGAAGCAGTGGCTGGCCTGGTGCTCACCATCATAGGGATCGCACTTTGCATCACAAGCTCAGTGACCAAGACCCAGGACCAGCTGTCATCCTCCTGAGTGGGCCAACCCGACCTTCAGTTAGGCTGTGCTCAGCCGACCCGGCACTGAGGTGAAGGCAGACTGATACACCAGCTTGCCTGTCTGAGCTTGCCATCTCATCTCCTCCATCATATCTACCTCAGGATCACAATAAGAATAGCATGGTTGCCGGGCAGGCAGATCTCTGAGTTTGAGGCCAGCCCGGTCTACAGAGTGAGTTCTAGGACAGTCTCCAAAGCTACAGAAAGAAACCCTGCTCAAAAACCAAAAAAAAATTAATAATAATAATAGCATGGTCCAGAGCTCAAGGACAACCAGGGCTACACAGAGAAACCCTGCTTCATAAAAACCAAAAAAAGAACAGCCCTGGGGAGGTTTTGTAACCTTCGGTGGGTTCAGCTGTTGTTGAGATTTAACATGAGAGCCAGGATTGGTGGTGCACACCTTTAATCCCAGCACTCAGGAGGCAGAGGCAGGGGGATCACTGAGTTGCAGGCCAGCCTGGGCTACACAGAGAAACCTTGCATTCTTGCATTAGAGAGAGAGATTGATTTCGTACTGGAGACTACACCCAGGGCCAGCAAGCCAGGCTCTAGACATGGGACTGGGACGGGATGACTGTGTCTCTGAACAAGGTTTGTGTCTGGAGGCCTCCACAGTCCCATTACAATGCCTTGGCTCAGTCACGGTGGAATTCAGGGAGAATGGTTACATCAGAATGACGGATGGAAGAATGAGCTGGCCCTGGGCAAAATGCTCAACTGCCAGACCCTCAAGTAAGGAGGCAGCTGTGAGCAGAGCAGCGCCTATCTGCAGCACACACCTGGCCAGCAGCAGCTTTCAATAAATCTGCGGCAAACAAAGCTTAGCAAATATTAGTTTATTGTGGCAAACCCCCTCCTAAACCAAGCCTGCAGTGCCTTTCCCTGGCAGGGAATCACATAAGGAAATCGCCTCCTCAGAACTTCCTGGGATTGTGAGGGGGAGGGGCTAAGGAGGCCATACCTACTGTGAGCCCAGTGAGGCATGACTTCTCAGGAACAGGCTGCTGAAAGTTGGGGGCTGAGTAGCTTGGGGAGGCTGTTGTCAGTTTGTGTCTGGAGTTCCCGGCACTTATGATGGTGAAGCCTGGGCTACTTACTTATGAGGATTCGCCCCGGGTCCTGGTGGGTGTTTGGGGACAAGGCCTCTTCCACTGTCTCTGCTGCCCTCTGGTGGACATATGGAAACGTGCATGCCAGAAGAGGGCACCAGATCTCATTATAGATGGTTGTGAGACACCATGTGGTTGTTGGGAACTGGGCAGCCAGTGCGGTTAACCTCTGAGCCATCTCTCCAGCTAAGCCCCCAACACCCCCCCCCCGTGTACTTTTTATCTGACTCCCTATGAAAGGAGGAAGTGACACACAGGCAGAAGACTGGCAGGAAGCCCTGCTGAAGCCCTCCCCCTGCAGACATCCCCCCCAGCATGTGTTAATGACTGGCCTGAGCTAGCTTGCCTCCCTGGCATGCGAGGCACGCATAGGCATAGGGGCATAGGGAGTGGTGTGAAGGGTCCCACCCCAGGGCCCGCGCCTGAGGGAAATGAGAGAGGAGAGAATTTGCTTCCTGACTGAATGGACAGTTGGGATCCGGCATAGAAAGTGGATGAGTCAGTTTGTCTAGGTGGAAAAGCCTGGGCTGGCAGAGATGCCTGGGTCTTGTGGCCCTGGGCACCATTAGAACCCCATTTGTTGTCATTACTTCTGCCCCTCCCACCTGCTTTGTTCCTGTCGGGCTGTCTGGCCAGGAACAGTGTGCTTGACACTCGCTCGCATCCAAAGATGCCCAGTGAAACCAGGCTGTTTTCTACTCTGGTGTCACATGCTCTCTGGCTCATCTGGGAGAATGGAGGCCTGGGATAGGATGGTGAGTCTCTGGCTCATCTGGGAGAATGGAGGCCTGGGATAGGATGGTAAGTCTCTGGCTCATCTGGGAGAATGGAGGCCTGGGATAGGATGGTGAGTGCTCTCCTTGGGCCCTGCTATGCCAAGTAGCCAGTTCAACAGCCAACCTAGTGGGGAGGCGTTTGGCATGGTGTCTGCACTCTACAGCTGTCTCCCTGAATAAGTCTTTTTTGTTTTTGCTTGTGAACTTCAGTTTCTACCCCAAGAAAGGGGAAATCACAGGGTCCTCAGCTAGTCAGTCCCCTTCTCCCTGCCTGTGGGACTTTACTTACGGCCTGGAGGATGCCTGCAGTGAAAGGAAGGGTTTGGGGTAGGTGGGAACCATAACTCCCAGGGCAGAGGGCACGTCCTCCGATGTGACCTGTGACCCTCCACCTCAATCAAACATACCAGCAGCCCACGGACAGTGAGGGGCCGGGCACCAACAGCTCCATGAAGGGAGGGCCTTGAACTCTTCTTCTCCAGCAGCCACATTGTGCCGACGGTGGGAAGAGAGGTGATACAGGCTGCTGGACACTCTACCCAGAAGGCACTAAGGCAGGTCCGGCTCCACTGGGGGACTCTCTGACTTTGGCTCTATGGGCAGTGTTAACCTAGGTTCTGCCCGTGAAGGACTGGATTAGGGAGAGAACATGGCTTTGGCCTATTCGACCTTAAGAGCAGGCAGAACTGTGGGGCATTTGGGGGTGCCTGGCCCCCCTTGTCCCCATCCTCACCCCATAACTGCCTTCTCAGTCAGCAGCTTCAGTGCCATCTCCCAGTCCTGGGTGGCAGTCTGGGGCAGCTTCAGACGAAAGAGAAGAGCTGGTAGGTCCCCATTTCTGAGCACACTGAGACAAGGACAGCCAGGTAAGGGGGTGGGTCCCCAAGACTCCACATGTGAAAGGGGCACAGGAACCAGGTGGTCCGAGAACCACTTACATGTGGGTTTTTAATCTTCCCACTTCTATCGGGGCTTCTGGAAAAACCCACTGCCATTTTCTTAATCTCACTAAGGCACACACACATCTATACCCCCACTCCTGGATGCAGGCGCTCACAGGATATAACAGGGGTATCTGTTGGTAGCAACTGTCCAAAGGCCCCATCACATGGGTGGTGAGACATAGGAAGCTCCTGAAACCCAAGTCAGGAGGAAGCCCAGGACTTTGGTTGAGACTGGGGTGAGCAGGCAGGAGCCAAACTTGTGCGGGAGAGCAAGTGACCAGGGGTGAGTTTAATTGTGTAGGAGAGTGTCGGGAAAAAGGGCCAGCCAAAGAAACACACCGAGCAGAGCCAAAGAAACACACTTTGGCCCTGCAACCAGAACCAAAGAAATGCACCCTGACCCTGAAACCAGCGCCAGAGAAACATGCTGCCCCCGGAGTCAGAGTCCAGGGCCAGAGCCCCTGGCCCTAAAATTAGAGCCAAAAGACTAAAAAGGACCAGTGGAAGAAACACACTTTGGTCCTGAACCAGAGCCAAATCTGACCCTAAACCTGTGCAGAAAACCAACCAATCCCTAAGCATGAGATCCAGCCAGTCTGACCTCAGGGACTGAAATTTGACCAATTCCCCACCCTGGAAATCTCCCAGGAAAACCTCTGGCCCCTAAGAAGCCCTATATAAACCCTGTGTCTGTGCAGCTTGTGGCTGTTGGACCACCCAGCTGTCCTCTGCCACCCTGGGAGAGGGCAGCCATTCGGGTGGAGTCTTCCCTCTGGATAAATCTCTTGAATGAGGTTTGGGTGAGACCTTTTGCTGGAGCAGAGATGACTCTGAGCAGAGTGGGGCAGGGCTGTAACACTTTTTGCTGGCAAAGCTGGAGCCAAATCGTAAGGGGGGTGCGTGGAGGACATCCTCTCCTGCTGGAACAGAACTGTTACATCAAGAAGCCATTCTCTGGAGCTGGGAAACCCTCTCCTGCCTGAGCGGAGCTGATACACTGGGGAAGCCTTTCCCTGGAGCAGGGCTGTAAGCTGCTAGGCTTACTGTGACTGTGGTATTCCTTGGCTCCCAATGGCCAGAATACCTCTTCCATCCGAGCTGTAACCCTCAGTATGCCTGTCCATCCCATCTGATCTGCTGACAAAATGCTTAGAGAGACCCAGTGAGCAGGGCTGAGTCTGGATATGCAGGAGATGAGTGAGCAGGGGCAAGTCTGCTCATACCTCTCTGGATGCCCATCCTTTGCTCTTGTGTTTCACAATTTACACATTCCTTTGGGGACCGTGGCCTGGAGATTAGGTAAAAGGTGGGGACTGAGTGGGGCTGACCTAGGACAGCTGTAGGTTCTGGAGTAGGTGTGGCATGCCCCCTGCTTCTACCACACTGTTCCACCCACCAAACTGGAGCAATCCTAAGGGGAAGGAGGAGATGATGAAGGCTACAGTCTCCCCTGAACTTACTGTTGGCTGCTCTTCCCATCTGCATGTCTCCTTCCAGGAGATAGGTCCCAGGTCACCTCAACGAAGTCTGAACCCAGTTAGCCAGATTTATGCCCATCATTGCGGGGCTGGTCTGAGGAGACCATTCTGCAGGTTGGCCTTTCCCTGATGGCCTGGCCTTAGGAGTACCACCACACTCATCCTGTCTCAAATCAGGGGAAAGTGTTGGTGGTGCATGTCTTCAACCCCAGCACGTGGGAGGCAGAGGCAGGCAGATAAACAATTGCAGAAATTGTTCCCACAGGCTGGCCCTGGTTGTGGTGGGCATTAGCCTTAGTAACAGAATGTAATCTGAGTTACAGATCAACTGATTTGATCATGTAGCTCCAGGCAAGTTTCTCCCCAGGTTTCGGGGAATAAGCCTGACTTGGAGGTTAGGATTGGATGCACTATTGCTCCCACCCTCCCTAGGCTAAGTGGCCAGCCCCATTCCACTCGCTGAGCCTTGTGGAATCGTTCAAGCCAGCTGCCACATATTGCCCTACCCTCCATTCTGTAAGCCAGGTCAGTGACAGGGTGGCCATCACATCGTGTGTAGCCAATGGGGATTGCACCACTGATGTCACCTCATAAAGGAAAGCCTCCATGGTGGGGTAGTGGCCTTGGGTCACTGCCAGCTGGCACCTGGGAAGACGGAGTTCCCATTTCAGTATATCAGTACTCTCTTAGATGCCATAGTATATCCTCACCCACAGATGCAGAGCAGTTGCCAATCAACTAAACCAGGGCTGGGAACTGTGCTAAAGGTGGAGTCCTGTCTTCTTACCCAGAAGGTTGCGCTGAATGCAGGGTCTCAGATCTGCCCTTGATGGACTTCTAAAGAGCAGGGTAGATACGACCACTTTTTTGTTTGTTTACTTGCAGAGTTGGGATCAAGCTCTGGCCCTTGTTTGCTATGCAAACACTGAACTGTCTTTGCAACCCAAGTCAGCCTACATTACAAAAGGAAGACCCTGGGCTCAGTGAGAGGGAGACAGAGATTCCCACACAGATGCCCAGTCTTCTCCTGAGCTTGGGCTCCTTTGAACTGAGACCAAGGGTGATCAGCCTGGGGGCTGTTCCCAAGGAAGATTGCTAACTGTGCTTTGGCCATGGTTGCTAGCTGGCTTTGGGGATGATGCCCCAGGTGAGTGGGAGGTGAACCAGTTGGCCCAGAATCTGTCCTGGTCAGAGGCAGGAAATAAAAGCAGACAGGCTCATAACCAAGAAAAACCTTTATTGTCCACCATCCTCCCACCTTATTTACCTCAAGGGAAGGTGAACTCTGGATTAAGCCACAGGCAGAGGATAAAAGAGCGTGACCTTCATCTTCCTCCTGTATCAGCGCAATCCTGCAGCTCAGCCTGATAGCTACCAATGGCCAGCAGCTAGGACAGGAGATGGAGGTGGCACCAGGTCCCTTTTCACCTTTTCATAGCACCCTCTTTAGGAACCTATTCCTCTCCCGGATCCCCAGGGCTTGCCGGACTGTCTCGCTTTCCATGGTCTACTCCTCCACTGGTCCTCTCTTGTGGAAGACAACGTCTCCAGAGATCTTCTGGTTTTCCCATCCTTCCTGACTGAGCTCATCAGTAATTCCATGCCTGGTACTCCTAGTGCTGGGGTGCTGGCTCTTGGGTGGTTTAGTCCTTCTGACACCCAGGCTACCTTGTTCCAGCCCTGTTGACGTCCCATTCCAAATCATGTGGCCTTCTGAGATACTCAAATCATACAGCCTGTCTCTGTGGCAGTCAGCCTCTTTGTAGCTTGGCTTTCTGGAGTATTTGTCCTCAGTATTTGGATTTTCATAGAATGTAGGCAGCTGTGTTGTGGCCTTTCCAGAACAAGGACTCCTAGACTTGGGGTCCTCAGGTGTCTGACCCTCTAGCAACTGCTGTAGACAGGTTTCATTCAAGGCCTGTTCTCTGTGGTCTGGCCCTTTGGTGACCCTGTCCCCTCTAGCCTGGCTATCTAATGCTGTAGCCTTCCGATAACACAGTTTCCAGCCCTTAGCCCCAACCGTGTTTTTGCCTGTACTGGCTAGACTGTCTGGGGATTTATGGAGCTGCGAGTCACCCTTGTGGCAGGCATCATCTGCATGGCATGGCTCTCCTGTGGTTCTGTCTCTACAGGACTGGTCCTTAGGGAGGTAGCTTGATTGTCCCCCATGGTCCAGCAATGTGTTAGGCTTGTCTCTGGTCTGGCTTGCTTCTGGGGATCTCAGTGTTTGCTTGAGAATTAGGTACTGTTAGGAAAGAACAGAAGCAAGCTTGCTCAGGCACAGCAGAAGGCCTCTCCCCACCCTTGATCTGCTTAGAAAGGGTTCTCACTGCCTACCTCCTTTCGACTGTTGATGGCCTGTTGTAGCCATAGCAATTCCATAGCCAAATGGTTGCGCTGGTCCTGGAGCTCATGTTGGCTCTGGGACAATCCTAGATCTGTGACTTCATTGGAGGAAAAGGAGAATGCCTTGAGGGGTAGACACTGGGTACTAGTCTAGCCCTAGATCTTGGCAGCCCTCCATGCTCACGAGGCAAGGGGGAGGGGGTGAGGAAGGCTGCAACTTATCTTGCGCATCCCCCCACATTTCAGCTGGGAGGCTGAGACCCAGAGAAGATCAGGGGCTTTCCCTGATCTGGGCAGAGGGATACCTGCATTGTCCTCTTCAGACATGGAGATATCTCTGGTCTTCCCCTGGCGGGCTTTCCTGTCCTGCTCAGTCTGAAGCCAGGAGCTGTCGTCTTGGCAAAGACTTCTTGCTTTTGCTTGGCTCCCTCTTGCCTTCTTCAGCACCACCTCCTCCAAGATGACATCTTTTTCAGAGTCTTTATATGGGAAATGGTTGCACAGTTTCTGCTCTGGGTTTGGTGCTTTCTCTGTTTTCCAGGATCGATGAGATTTTGCCTTGTGAAAAATCGAAGAGGTATGAGAATCAAAAGTTTACACCCCCACAGATGACTGGAAACCAGGCAAATAGGTAGGGCTGAGGATTGGGGTGTGAGAGTGAATCTGACCTTGGGGGCACCAGGCAGACACATGGTACAGAGACAGAAGGCAAAACACCAATATATAAGCGGGTGTTGGTGGCAGAAGCATGCCTTTAGTCCCAGCACTCAGGAGGCAGAGGCAGGTGGCGCTCTGTGAGTTTGAGGCTAGCCTGATCTACAGAACTAGTTCCAGGACAGGCTCCAAAGCCATACAGAGAAATCCTGTCTTGAAAAACCAAAAAGAAAAAAAAAAAAAAAAAAAAAGAAAAACCCAAAAACAAACAAACAAAAAACCCACCCATACGCATAAAACAAGCCAGAGCCCTGTACCAGGTTCTCCTTTCCTCTCCCCCCTGGGGTGTGTACTACCTCTGGGAGAAATACAGGCTTAGGAATCCAGCCTCCTGTCCACTGAAGTGTACTGAGGTCACCCTCGATCTCTTGTACAATTGCTTCATACTCAGCTCGAAGGCTCTGGAATTGACGCCGAACCAAAAAGCCCCGGATACCAGCCTAATGTGAAGAACAAGCGGGGTGAAATGCCTCTTAATACTTTTAGAAAAAAGGTATCTTGACTTGAGCGTTAGTAGTGCACTCCTTTAATCCCAGCACTTGGGAGGCAGAGGCAGGTGGATCGCTTGAGTTCGAGACCAGCTTGGTCCATGAGTTGCAGGACATCCAGGACTGTCTCAAAACAAACAAACAAAAAACCCAAAAACAAACAAAAAACCACACAGGAAAGGAAAGAGAAAAAAGAGGGTATCATCAGTTTTGTGATTGTTGGCACCTGAAGGTTCAAACTCAGAGCTTTGAACATGCTAGACAAGCGCTCTGAGCTACATCCCTAGCCTCAAAGAGACCTTGGATGTTTCTGTAGAGGTCATCGGGGGCTGCCAGAGAAAACACAGTCATGGGGAAGGGATGGGAAACCGTGTTTTGGTGCTCTGGGAGATCAAGAGAAGTGCTGGGCTGTTCGCTTGAGGGTTCTTTTAGCTCCTCCCCAAGCCCGCCCCAGCTGGGTATTCTTCAGTGCAGTGCAGGTAAAGGGACGTTATGTGACAGCTGCATCCCACCGAAGGTCCCAGTCCAAGTCCCTGGCCCTAGGTGCATTCGCAGCTATAACACGACCTGCAATGCCGACACCTTGTGAAGAAATACGTCGGGCTCCTTCATGTCGCCAACTGCCCTGTGCTGTGCGACGTCCAAAAAATGTTCGCTTGCGCGGTGCGTCTTTTGGTAGCTCCGCTCTTGAGCATGCGCAAACACAGGGCCCCGCCTGCCGTTTCCGGCTCACGTGTCTGGCGTCTCCTTCCAACCCGCCTATGCACCCGGGTCCAACCCTAGCCTTTTCTTCCAACCTACTGTGCAACGCAGTGAAAGTAAAGAGGACACCGAAAAGGAGTTGCTTTTCTGTTTAATTCCATCTAGTGCCCCCCACCTCGTAGCACCTGGGGGGCTGCGGAATACCCTCCCGAGTCCGTAAAAAGTCACAGTTTGAAGGGAAGGAGAGAGGCCTGGATCCGACACCTACGACGCTGGCTGCTCCTCAGGCTCAGCATTCTCTGCCAAGTGCAGCTTCTGTCTGTGCCAGTCAAGGACAGTGACGCTTAGGACCCCCAGTGTTTCCACCTGCCTTCCTTCCCATCCTGCACAGGCTGTGTGTGCGCATCCAGTGCCACCACACCAGGCCACAATCTAAGTAAGAATCATGAAAATCTGAAAGGGTAGGAGAACATCACACAAGGGTTGTGTCTACTTCACATATTTCAATCATGCCAGGGTTTGCCTCTGCTTTCTGAATGCTGGGATTAACGCGATGCATTTTCTCTTCCCATTTGGGAAATTTTACTTTCCTCTTCTCAAGTGGGGGTAGTTTGTGGCTAACCGCAGGAGATAGGAATGATTGTTAGTGATGAATACGCCGAGAGGGAGACAGGAAGGGAGAAACTGATACCCCATCCTTCGTTTCTCCCTCTCCTGAGAGACACCTGAACCATATCAGGGTCCTTGGAAAGGATACATGGAATTGCTAAGATCTTCTAGCTGTCAACAAAGAGAAAAGGTGTTTATGTCACGAGGGAAGCCAGAACAAGCATGGATGCCCAGGGAAAGTCCTAATAATGGAGCCCGAGGAGCTCACAGCACTGGAGTTAATGTACCCCTACTTTTCACTGAGAGGCTTGGGAGCCAGTGCCCTCTCCACCCTTGGTATCCCCAGGATCCAAGACAGCCAGTTTTATGACCCACATTGCTAAGCAGCTGGTCCAGGTTGCGGTCAGCCATTGTCTTCTTCTGTTCCTCAGGCAAGCCCTCTGTGACACCATCGTCTTCCTCTTCCTCGTCCTCCTCCCCACACACATCCAAGCTGAAGTGCAGTCTGGCCAACTTCTCCTGCATCTCCCGCACATGCTCCAACTGCTCGAAGGAGCATTCCTTCCCTGGACAACTCCTGAGTTTAGGAGCCAGCCTGGGACCCTAGTCCCAGCATGCCTCCACCAGGACTCCCAGCCCCACCCACAGAACTACCCTGCCCCTGAACTTACCAAAGGCCTGTAGGCGGCCTGAATGGAAGTCATTGAGCAGGTTCAGCAATCCCCCCTCCATCTCATAGACATCTGTCACCTCGGTCAGGAAGGAGTGTTGCAGAGGTGTGCCTGCAGAGGGGCCCCCACCTCCAGCCAGCACCTGTCGGCATTTCTCCTTGCCTACTCTGGGTGAAGTGGACATGACCATGGTCATGGGTGTTGGGAACAGCCAGGCACACCCAGATCTCTTGTGCCATCTCTCTCTGCACTATTTCATCTGCCCTACCCATTCACCAACACAAATGGATGTTTGTTCTTAGGTTCTGCCCTGAGCAGTGGGATGGGCAGAGGGGAAGGAGTTAATGAAGGGGAGAAAGGGAGAGGGCAGAAAGAAGTCTGTTTCCATGAATGCTGCAGCCAGAGCTTTGCCTGCAAGGAGGCTGACCTAGCTTCCTGCCCCAGAGCCCATGTAGGCCCTGTGCTTCTGGATGGGCCTCTTGTCCTTGTCCTTTAGCGAGTTTCCTTCTTTACTGCCAACAAAGCACCTCCCATCAAAAAATCTGCCTGCTCTTGTTCCAAAACTGTTCTGAATTTTCCATGTCCTTGCAGGGCTGGCTCTGGCTGTAGCAGAGTAAAACATTCTGTCTCCCCAAAGTAACACTGAACAGAACTCTCCAGCCAGCCAGGCCTTCCTTCCTCTCCAGCTGCATTCCCTACTATTCTTAAGTAGCCTTGAGCTTCAGCTACAACCTGCTACAGCCATGCTGGCACATGCTTGTCAGCAGATGATATGCTGTTCCACCGGAGCACTGCCATTATTTAGAATTCTAGGGAAAAGGACACATTGTATTTATGGGAACAAATGTGGATAATTACACTGTAGGATCCAAATTCTTTTTTGTTTTGTCATTTTCAGACAGGGTCTCACTACACAGCCTTGCCTGTCCTGGAACTCACTATGTACACCAGGCTGGCCTCATCCAGATCTACTGGCCTTTGCCACCCAATGCTAGGATTAAAGGTATGTGCCACCATTATGTGTGTGATAGCACACACATTTAATCCCAGCACTTGGGAGGCAGAGGCAGGTAGATCTCTATAAGTTTGAGGCCAGCCAGGACTACAAAGTTAAGTTTCAGGACAGCCAGGGCTACAAAAAGAAACCTTACTTAAAAAAATAATATTAGCCAGGTGGTAGCCGCACATGCCTTTAATCCCAGACTTTCGAGGCAGAAGCAGGTAGGTCTCTATGAGTTCGAGGCCAGTCTGGTCTACAGAGAGTTCCAGGTCAGCCAGGGCTGTTATAAGTAGAAACCTTATCTTGGAAAACCAAAAAGAAAAACTAATAACAATAAAAATAAAAAGAATTGAGCAGGTAATTTAAATGGGTTAAGGAGTTCACTCAGTGGTAGAGCACTTAGCATACTCAATATCTTGGGTTCAGTCCCCCAGCATCACTAAAATGAAATAAAAGGGGACAAATTGCTTGAAAGGTATTTATTCCCCAACACTCCTGGATCCTTCCAGGCAGTACAGTATCGTTGTTCCCATGCCATGCATGCTAGCTTTCCAGTTTCACATTAGGGTGCCCACAGCCTCCTCTCACTCTCCTACTCACTGACTTCCTCTTCAGAGACACGGCCCCACTCTGTGAGCTCCCAGTGGCTCCCTGGTGTGCACTTGAGGGCAAGCACTGGGTCTACATTACCGGTGAATGGAGGCCCTCCTTCCCACAGTGCTCAGCCCATAGCTGAGGGCTTCCGTTCTTGCCAAGCACCCTTTCTGTACTCACCTCTTAAACTTGGTTCGCTGCTTGGGTGACGGCAGATGAGGGAGTCCCAGGGCTAAGGAACCACTGTGGCTGGTGGGCACAGGGACTCTCCGTAGTGTGCCTGAGGCCTGTGCTGGTTGGGCCAGGCAGGGCTTAGGACTCCGTTTCTTCTTTTTGTCATCCATTGGGTGCTTTTCAGGCCTGAGAAGGAAGATAATGAGGGGGTAAAATTATCCCTTCACTCAGCATCTCCTGAGAACTGACAAGAGTTTGTCCTTGTCCAACAGTCAGGAGTTCTGTCCTATTGTCTGTACAGGGCCTGCTGGGGAACTGTGCATCTGAGGGCTCTTCCAAGGCCACCCCAAGCACCGCCTTCTCCTCCGTCTCCTTCCTCGTCTTCTTTCCCTTTTTCCTTTCTTTCTTTCTTTCTTTTTTTTTTTTTTTTTTTTTTTTTGTTTTTGTTTTTATTTTTGTTTTGCTTTTTGGAGATGGGGTTTCTCTGTGTAGCTTTGGAGCCAGTCCTGGAACTTGAGCTGTAGACCAGGCTGGCCTCAAACTCACAGTCATCCACCTGCCTCTGCATCCTGAGTGCTGGGATTAAAGGTGATTAAAATGTGTGTGCCACCACTGCCCAGCCACCCCTTTCATCTTGAAAGCTCCACAGGCCTGCCTGACAGGGCTGGAGTGGTTTTCTGTTGCTGCAGCCCAGAGCCTGGGGCTGGAGAGGAAAATGCTTGCAGATGGGGTGGATGTGGCTAGAGGAGCCAGCTGAGGATCAGGTGTATCTTAACTAGGCCCAACTAGGCAGATCCTGACTTACTCTACATGAGATGTGACCAAAGTAAGGTAGGGGCACCTGGAAAGTCCCTAGTGTCAACCTGTCAACCATAGTAACTAGGAATGGTCTACTCATGACCTCACCTCCCCCCTTACATACTGGCATTTATCTGCTCCCACTTCAATTGCAAATACCAGGGATGCCTAGTACTTCCCTGGGACAGCTTTCTAGTCTTTTCCTTTTCCACTTATAAAATCTCTGGGGTTGGATCTCCACCAGTGTCTGCAACTGTGGCCAGCACAGCTTAGCCTGACTCCCATGCAGCCCTGGGCATCTAGTCTGCTGGGGTCTCAGTCCAGATTGCTGTCAAAAAGCTTGGTCAGCTCATTCCAGACATGGCGGTGATGGATGGAGTAGGAGCACAGCATTTAAGCCAGCAGCATATAACAGCTGGATGGCATCAATGGGGTCGGGTAGGGTAGAAGGGAGATAACTCTGACTCTCCAAGCAGCAGTGTGATCCAGTGACTTATGGAAGCAGCAGCCAGAGCAGCTTTCGGTGCTCAGCCTGGGAAGCTGTATCCCGAGGAATCACTCAATTCTGAATCTTAGCTTCAAAAAAGAGCATCAGGTGCGTTACCCAACCCCTCCTTCGTCACTCCCTTCCCGCATCCCTCGAGGAACCACTCACCTGGAGGTTTGGGATGTGAAGTGAGGAATTGTGCTCCTTCGTAATCTTTCTCTACCCTGCTCTCTCTCTCTCTCTCTCTCTCTCTCTCTCTCTCTCTCTCTCTCTCTCTCTCTCTCTCTCTCTCTCTCTCCTCCCGGGAGCTAGAGCTGGTGGGAGCTAAGCAGGCTGGAGGTGATTTGCATTTAAAGAGAAAGTAGCCTTCTTTGAGTTCACAGGGAGCTGAATGGAGGAGAGTCCTCATGTTGACTAACAGTTCCTCTTACTCTATGAACTAAGGGGACTCTGTTAGTTGTTGGATATGGGTTTAAAATACTTTGTTTCTTGTCTGTCTGGAGGGAATCCCTTACAAAATGGTGGTGGCTTTGTGTGCAGGAGGGGGTTGATGGGAATACATGAATGTGTAGGTATAGCTAATATAGAAGTATAAAAGAAAAGCAACAGCCACCAGAAGACACAAAGACAGCCATATATCCAAGCACTGTTAAGCCGTTTCATAGATATTTAATCCTTATGATCCTGAGACATAATTCTTATCTGGATTTTATTGAAAATAACAAATCGTCACTTATTCCTGGGCAATAGCACTGTCCCATCACATCCAGACATTCCTGTTAAGTGCTGATGAATGAACTGGACCTCTCCTCTTCCCACATACGTAGAGAGAACCAGAGCAGAGCTGGCAACCTGAGCTCCTGAAGGAGCCTGACCCAGAACTGTTTGTTGTAGTGCTGGCCAGGAGGGAGGTCCCATCACCAAGGCAGCTATTTAAAGACCTGGCAGCTCTCCTGGCTCAGGGCTCCACAGCAGCATCCAGAGCCACCTGAGAGTATCCTTACCAGGCTGCCCAGACTTAGACTTATCTCTCCCTTCCTCTGAGCAACAGCAGGTTTCCCTGACTTAGGCCACTAGCTGCTGGGAACCCAGAGGTGTTGCTTCTGAAGACACCAATACATGATTTAAACACCCAAGAGTTTTAAACACCCAGGACACTCTAGAAAGGGACGTTAAGTCAAGACTTGAGCAACTGAGGGACAGAGGGAAAAAGGGGCGTCTCTTTCCTCTTCTACAGGAGCTGCTGGAATGGCTCCTCCATTAAAGAGGCAGAGGGCCCAGAAGCACCTCTAATGTTCCCACCTTCTGTGCCTGGTGGGGAGGGGGCGCTTTTAAGGAGCTGCTTTGCTTGGAAGTTCCTGAGGTGAAGCAGCAAAGGATCCCTGCCACCCTTCTGGAGGCAGCGTGGCGTGTGGTGCAAGGAATGAATGTATTAGTCTACCACCTCTGGATAGAAGGAGCCAAGGTAAGGAATGCCTTCCTGGGCCAGTGAGCTGGCTAGCAAAGCTCCTATAAAGCTGTTGCTGAGCTGGCGGCGATGGTAGCAAACATATTTAGTCTCAGTACTTGGGAGCAGAGGCAGCCAGATCTCCTGTGAGTTTGTGGTCAGCCTGGGACAGAGCAAGTTCCAGGGCAGCAAGAGCTACACAGAAAAAGGGGCTGAGGGACTATAGTTGATGTAAATGTTTGCCCCTTCTTCAAGTGGGTCCTTACTGCCCTCTAGGTCTGATTCATATTTCCTTAGGTGACACCTCAGCTCCAAGTATAAACCTCATCTCCTTCCCCACCATTTTTTACACCATTTATTTACTTTCATGTGCATTGCTGTTTTGCCTGCATGTGTCTGTGCCCCATCTTGAAATTAGAGTTGTGAGCTGCCATGTGGTTGCTGGGCAATGAACAATGGTCCTGTGGAAGAGCAGTCAGTGCTCTTAACTGCTAGGCCATCTCTCTAACCCCTTCCCCCACTTTCTTGAGCACCCTGGAAAATGTTCATAGGGAAACCTTTTCATTTTTATTTTTTGAGACAAAGTCTCATTAGCCCTGGCTGGGCGTAGGTAAACCAAGATGGCCTTGAACCTAACTTTTGTGAGTAAAGGGCATATTCTACCATTCCTTGCCATGGTTCAACTATTAAATGAGATCATTAACCTTCTGTCCTTTTCAGGACCTCTCCTACTTTAAATGAACCTTCCCTCTCACTAGCTATTATTTAAAACAAACAAACAAAAAAAACAAAACAAAAAAAAAAACACATGTATTTATTATGTGCACTCGTGCATGTGTGGCAGTGTGAAGATTTTAAGAGAGCAAAAGACAACTTGGAGTTCATCACCACGTGGGTCGTAGGGATAGTTGTCTAGTGAGCCATCAGCAGCTACCCATCATCCCCCTACCCCCCACCCCCGTTTTCCTGTGAGGCAGGGTGTCACCATGGCATCCTGGAACACCATGCAGACCTTCCTGCCTTTCCCTTCCCTGTTGGAATTAAGGGCACACCCTTCCTTGAGAGTTTTAGTATATAACCTTAGCTGATATAGTGCAAAGTAGCCTTGAACTCACAGCAATCATGCCTCAGTCTTTCCATGTTAGGCTTACAGTGTGCATACCTTATTGAAACTTAAAAAAAAATAATTACTTAAAAGTCCTTTGATAGTCTTTCTATGCCAAGAGCAAGCACAATTCAAGTAATCTGTCAGGATCCTGAACTTGCAGTGGCCAGTAGAAGGCAGGACATTCTGGAATATGCAGAAGTTCAGGACACTGCCAAGGCCACTTTGCTGATCCAGACAAGTCCATAAAAATGGAGAAGACCAGACGGATCCAGAAACAGCAAACAATCCAATTAGCAGAGGTACAAGTAAGGCAACAGACTATTTAATGTGGTGTAAAATACATCGATATCAAGTCCCTGGCTGTTGTGAATACGAAAAATAGACCAGAAAGGGAAGAGAAAGACGAAAACAAAACAAAGCCAAAAAAAGCTGTCAGCACAACCTCAAACAAGTGTGGGTGGCAAAGGAAAGCAATTATGGGTACAGAGGCAGCTCTTCCATCCCAGGCTGGTTGAGAGGGACAGTCAGATGCCTGTGACCCACATATCCACCCATGCTGTTGGTGTGGGAGGGCTGGAGCAGCATTCAGCAGGCCTCAGCCTCCCTACAGACACCTGGGCAGCTCCACTGGCCTCTGGTCAGCCTTCAGTAGGACTAACAAGGGGGGGGGGATTGGGGAGGGTTAAATAACCATCTTTACAGAAACAACATTCTCACAGAGTGCCTGAGCGCTGCCCATGGTCCAAAAACCTCATGGAAAACAAAGGAAAAAGTACTGCTGACATGGTATACATGAAGCTCTCAACTACACAAGGACCTCACCATAGGCATAGCCAAGGGCCCTGGGCGAAGTATTACCCATTGTGGTCCTTTAGAGAAAATGCTAACAATCCTATAAACCAACAGGGATCTTGGTCTTAAAATGAGGTCATATGCATGGGACTCACCCTAGTGAGGAAGGCATTGGCCCTCACTCACAAACAGGCCACCTCCCTGCAGCTGGCCCAGACTCCTGGGCCGACTTAGGAAAGCAGAGCAGCCATAGTGACTTAAGATTTGGTCAGTGAAAAGGAAGAGAAGGGAAGATACTGCCCTGGGTGCCTAGAAATCAATGGAGCTAATAGCTCGCAGGTTCTACACAGTATAGTCTCCTAGTCCATATCACACTGAAACCCAACAGCTGTAACCCTTGCATGAGCTTTAAGAGATAGCTGGAGGCAGGCCAATTATATGGGCCACAGTAGGCCTTTCTGTGTTCAAGGAGGCAGAACATACCTTATCCTCACACCTCTGCAGCCAAGCATGCCCCAAGGGCTGAGAGTTCAGATCTCACACACAAGGGCTGAGAGACCTTCCCAGAGCAAGAAGAATACTATGATTTTCAAGGGAAAAAACCCCTGGGAGAACCTCCACAGGACAACAGATCCTAGCTGGAGATGGCAAAGAAGCCTCCACATTTACCCAGCTGCGGGGCACCCTGAGTGAGTAGCTATACCAGGGTAGCAAGTACTTGAAGCAGTAGTGCCCAACAAAGGGAGAGGGAATTAGTTTGTAATTTCTCATCTTGAACACATGATTGTATTCTATTTACTTTTGGTTTTCTGACCAGGGGTTCTGCTCCTAGCCCAGACTGGTGTGAAGCTCAGTGTACTGTTGAGTCCTGGGTTTAGAGGCACACACCACACACCCAGCTCAATTCTCAATGTGTGCATGTGTGGGCTTAGCAGCTAGTTATGAAAGATAAAGGAACTTACAGAATAATGCAATAGCTGAAATACCACAAGAAGCAACGTTTCAACCAATCTTGGTCTAAGGTTCGCTTAGCTTACAGAAGCTGACACTTCCTAGAAACTGTTGCCCCAGTGCGCTGCTGTGTAAACTGAAAACCCTGGCAGGTTCACTACAGGACTTAACACAGATGTGAGCGGGATGTGGAGGGAAGGCAAACACAACTCCCTGCAGCTGTTTTGGTTCTGTTGTTAGAAGTTACTCTTAACACCTGGAGGCTCAGTCAACAAGAAGTGAAATCCCAAGGACTCATTTTTTGGCCAAGAGGGTGCTAGGAAATGGCACCAGAACAGTCCTCAAAAATGACTTATCTGAGCTGGAGGTCAGGGGGTAAGAGGGGAAATAAAGTAAAAGCCCATAAGCCAAGGGGCATCTGGATCTGGGGTTCAGCATTGGCTACATAGAGGTGGTGATGAGAATTAGTAGTAGCCTCCCAGACTGAAACCGATAGGCAAGTTTGTGGCAAGGCCATTATCCTTTCTCTTAATCCTATCTTCCCAAACAGGACACCTTGGCACCAACATGTCAAAGGAACCTTACGGGGTTGTCCCGAATGGGGCACACTGGAGGCCAGGCACCAGGACCATTGCTAGTGTATCCCTCTTCCTTCCTTTGAAGATCTTTAATACGGAACTTTTATGCAAAACAACACAACAACAAAAACACCTCCAAAAAGAATCCTTTGGGTGACCTTCTGTCAATCATTTGTGCAGGCTAGAGGCACCTGTGAATGATAAGGCTACTGAGAACGGGGAAGCAACATCGGCCTGGACCTGGCACTACCAGAGGGCAGGGGAACTGGTGGCTGAAGAGGCTCCTTCACACACAGACAAAACCCCCAGTTTCCTTGTCTTGGGCAGGAGGAAGCTTAATGGCCAGCTGTTTCTTACAAAAACTCTGCCCAGGAACACCATTCCCAGGTCAAGAGAAGCAATGGAATTTCCAGGGGAGCAACAAGAGCCCAAACTGCCCAAGCTCTGCTTACAAAGGAGAAGAGTCCAGGCCTGGGTGTTTCCACTCTTCACGAGCTCTGAAAAGGGCTGACGGATCTGAGCCTCAAAATCAGGCAGGAAAATGTTCAAGTCATCTGACCTGGTGGCTCACTGGATGGCAGCTACAGGATGAAGTCTCCTAGGACTTCGGTTTAGTCACCAACTTCACCTGCACCCCCACCCTTTGCTGAAAGCCCACTGTACACCTACAGGTGTTAACTATTTAACTGCACAATGCCCCATCCATGTAAATAAGACTAACCCACAATTTAAAAATGCAAAGTGTCCAATGCCCTCCAGGTCAGAACACCCTGGCCTTAGCACTGGGCTGCTCAGTGTGGGAGCCTTGTATGGACCAGGCCTGACCGGGCTGCTGCTCCCTTCCCAGCATGCCCAAGCACCATGATCTCTAGGCAGTGGCCGAGGTGGGCTGTCGGGGCCCTGTTTGGCCTGCTATTTCTGTGCTTGGTGCTCCAGGGCAGCCAGGAACTTCTGTGGCCCTTGGGGAGCTGGATGGTTGAGCTCCAGGACTCTCAACCCCTTGTTCCTTGGAGGCAGTGGCTGCCTCTGGCCTCCGCTCAGTACCAATGTCAGTGAGGGAGCCCTGGGCACCAGCAGTCAGGTCCTGTACCCTCTTGTTCAGGTCATTGCGCTCTGTCTGCAGTGCTCGGCATAGCCTCTCCAGCCGTTGGATTTTCACTTGCAGACCTTCCAGCTCTTTGTCCCGGAGAGTTTTCTAGGTGAAGAAATAAATGGGGAATTCAGCGAGACCCTCATTTCTTCAAGTTTGTGCAACTTAAAATCAAGAGCCAGCCTCTGCAATAAACAGCTCAGCTTACAGTATAACTTTATTGTCATCCCTCTACTTATCTACCAGATGACCCATGCAGAGCAATTTGCAACTTGAAACCGTATCTGTTAAACAGATGTTAAACAGAACTAGCCAACCTCAGTTCTCAAAAGAAGGGTCAAATATGAGACATATGAAAGAAACAGGAGAACTACTCTTTGCAAATAAATGAAATAAATAAATAAATAAAACAGACCTCTGAGCAAAACTGGCTTGTAGCTGCTGCACTATGTTAGTGTCTGTCTTGTAGACTGCAAGCCACAGTCACAACCCTGGAATGCTCTGCATGTGAACCACACCAACCATTAGTACCCACTGTTTGCTGTTCCTGGGACCTAGTCTGGATGCCTTACTGCAGAGTCACTGCACTTCAATAAATATGACAGGAAATACAGTTATAGCTCATGAGTAGTGTCACCGACTGAGAAAGAGGTAGAGAGGACTGACAGACAGTAACTGCACCCAGCCCATTGTCCTCCACCAACCTCTTCAGCCATCTCGAGCAGGGCCTTATTGCTGCTCTCCCACCGGGATCGATACATGGTGGTTTCCTTCTCCAGCTTTTTTATCTTCTTTGTCATCTGTTACATGACAGATGGAAAGGAAAAGGTCAGAATTTGGCTGTCTGGACATCTGTGCCTTCAAGTGAGGAAACATTACATTTATGCCAACTGGGAGCCACAAGTTAAGTCTACCACTGAGGGGCTGACAAGACTGCTTAGGAAGTAAAAGAGGAACTTTCCATCAAGCCTGATAATCTAAGATCCACACTTAAAACCCACAGAATCAACTTCTGCAAACCTATGGTGTATGTATACAATTTACACATATACCCCCACTGATAAAAGTCACTTTAAAACATGCAAGGAGGATCTCTCTGAGTTCAAGACCAGCCTGGTCTACACAAGGAGTTACAGGGCAACCAGGGCTACATCTTTGAAGAATAAATAAATAGGCCAGGCGTTGGTGGCACACACCTTAGATCCCAGTACTTAGGAAGCAGAGGCAAGTGGATCTCTGAGTTCCAGGCCAGCCTGCTCTATAGAATTCTAGGACAGGCTCCAAAGTTACAGAGAAACTCTATCTCAAAAACCAAGGTGGGGGGGGGGGGGAAGAAGGCAAAAAAATATGAAACAAGTAAATAATATTTTCTTAAAAGGTTACTATTGGAGCCTAGTAATGGAATGCATACTCTCTACTACTTTAAATGCCAGCATTAATACAGAAATGAAACCAAACAATAATAGAAAAACACAAACTGTGTCTTGTGGTGGAAGAGAAGAGGTTGTGACACTTGTAACCACATCTTTCTGATACATGAATTAATTCTTGTGAGGCACCCAAAGATAGTTCTGAATGAAGTGGCTTGGCCCATGCCAAACCTTCTGGTTACCTTTTCCATTTCCTGCTTGAACGTGGTAAACACTTCACTGCTTTTGGAAAGTGTATTCTGGAACTCCTCAAACTTCTCTGTGTATAGGGCGAGCTGGGTGAGAGAGAAGCAGAGGTGAGGACGGGCTTTTCTGAAGGCATCTCTGGGTAACACACTCAATGTAGGTATCCCTTTGGCCCCTTGATAAAACCATTCTACTGAGATACCATTTTCTAATAAAACAAAACCAAAGCCATGCACAGGAAGGATATGCTCCAACATGAGACACTGGAAAGTAAGCTTGAGAAGACTTCAGCATGTACAGACTCTGATACTGGTCTCTTAAAAATACAAAACAAATAGCAGCAGTGGTGACACCTTTAATCCCAGCACTCGGGAGACAGAGGCGGGAGGATCTCTGTGAGTTTGAGGCCAGCCTGGTCTACAGAGTGAGTTCCAGGACAGCCTCCAAACCAAAGCTATAGAGAAATATAGTCTTGAAAAACAAACAAAATAAAAAGAGAAAACAAGTAACAACAAAATACAAAAGTAAAAAACAAAACAAAAACAGAGGAGGCTGGGCGGATGGCTCAGCAGTTAAGCACACTGGCTGTTCCTCCATGGGACCTGGATTAAATTCCCAGCACCCACAGAGACCACCCGAGTTTCAGGGGATCTGGCATCCTCTTCTGGCCCCTGAGGGCACCAGGCATGCAAGTGGGGCTGAAATACAGGCATGCAAAACACCCATACATACAAAGTAAGAGAAAAATAAAATGAGCTAAACATGGAAACTAATACCCCATGCATCTTCAAGACCAGCCTGATCTACAAGATGAGTTCTAGGTTAGCGAGAGCTAAACTTAGAGACCTTTTCTTTTCAAGATATGGTTTTGCTATGTAGCCCTCTGCCTGTCCTCAAACTCAGATTCACCTACCTCTGCCTCCCTAGTTGAAGGATTAAAGGCATGTATAACTGACCTCTTGGCAACCTTTTCTTTCCTTTTTTAAAAAGATTTATTTATTTATTATGTATACAGTGTTCTGTCTGCATGTGTGCTTGTACACCAGGAGAGGGCAACAGACATCACTATAGATGGTTGTGAGCCACAATGTGATTGCTGGGAATTGAACTCAGAACCTCTGGAAGAGCAGTCAGTGCTCTTAAACTCTGAGCCATCTCTCCAGCGCCCCCAACCTTTTCTTAAAATAAAATAAATAAAAGGCTTGGTTGAGACTAATACACCAGTTGGCTCAGAAGCAGCCTAAGATGAGGGTCTTGTTTTCTCCACTCTGGAGATGGGGCTTTGTGACTGCACATCAGGTTCCAGCCTCACCTGCTGCTTCAAGTGAGTCTCCTGTTGCTTCATCAGCTCGCACATCCTCTGGGACTCCACAGCTTCTTTCAGGAGCTATTTCCAAGACAGGACCCCAGAAGCTGTCAGAAGCCCCTGGGGGTATGTTTGGCCTTCTTTAGCCACAAGCACTGGACCCACTGAGGCTACCTGTTTTCAGACAGTTGTCTGAACAGGCAGTTACAGGACCCAGGAAGGCAAATCCTCTTCCATCCATATTAACTAGATTCTGAGCTAAGCCAAAACCCAGCCCACTTCCTTGCAGTCCCAACCACAGCCCTGGGGCCCGAGCCTCACAAACTCCTTCTCCCGCTGGTGCCGCTCCTCTGCCTCCTTCAGCATCTCCTGGGCCTGCTGGAGTTTGGCATCCACTAGCTGCTGCTGCAGGTCCTTATGTTTGAAGACTTTGTCGATATGCTGTAAAAAAGGTATTAATGGGATTTGCTTGTCAGGAGTACCCTTTCAAGGAAGTCTTATGCAGTCTCATCTTGACCCCACTGTCCTTGGGAGGTCACTTTCCTAACCTCAACCGGATGTGTAGACAGGACAGTACACCTCTACTCCAGAACTGAGTATTTCTACAGATTCCTGGTTCAGGCACCAGAGAGAAGGCCCTGTGGGTCAAAGATTTTCTCCATTTCAGATCCTTGTCTAGCATCACATCATCTTTTGAAGGAGGAGAAAGAACAGGCTGGTGGAATGCTGCCCCAGTCCCTCTGGCACTCACTAGAGCCTCACAAGTTGCTGGCAATGACCACCTCACCTCTTCACGAAGCTCATATTGCTCAATCAACTTCTTGAGCCTCTCCGCCAGTTCCATATTCTCTTGGCGCAGCTTGGAGTTCCGCTCATTATGCTGTTCCATCTGCAGCTGAATGTCATTCAGTGTCACCTGGAAGTGTGAAGTCACCTCTTTTCGTTTCTCCTCCTCCTCACGGGCTCGCTGCACACCTTCTTCCTGAAGAGAGAAGCCAGTCCTGGAACCATCATCTACAGCTCTAAGCTCTATACAAAGCTCCCCAAACTAATCCACAGTCTTCCAACAGAGCTACTGGCCCCACAATGAGGAACACCTAGGCTCCAGGATGTCATACAATCAGGGTTCCTAATGTGACATCTGTAAGTCAGGTGACATCAATTGAGCTTCTCCTTAGAAATACTCAACATGGTCAGGCGGTGATAGCACACATCTCTGAGTGGTACGATTAGGTTAGAGAAAACCTGTCTTGCACCCCCACAAAATAAAGAATACTCAGCATACATGTTAAGTGCCAATCGGAAGCAGTTTGTATCTTCTGAATTCTTGTTCCCAGATTCTAGATTAACTATTCCTGCTTGTTTCCCACAGAAAACAAGATGAGAAAATCTGCTGATGATAAAATGCTGTTTCTTTTTTATTAAACATTCTGTCATCTTTTTTGTTTGTTCTAGACAGGGTTTCTCTGTAGCTTTGGATCCACCTGCCTGGCTCACTTGTTTGTTTTAAATGTCTTCCAAGGTGGCCTACAACTCACTGTATAGCATAGCCTCGATGCTTTCCAAGAAGCAAGCACACAAAACCCAGTAAATACTAACTGACCTACCTTGAGGGATCGGTTATGTCGCTGCAGCTCCCGGCAGAGGCTCTCAAGCTTGCTTCGGGCCAGGACAGCCTTGCTATGCTCGCCACGGAGATGGTCCTTCTCCTGTACGAGCTGGCTCTGCTTCTTCTGCAGGAGCTTCATCTGCTTCTGTGAGTTTCGGTGCTCTTCCAGCTGAGAACAGGAGGGAGGAATTATCTGGAGCATGAACCTTTACATGGTTCTAGATATTCCTAAGCTAAGCACTACCCGCTCCTGTAGTTAAAGCTGAAGTTCAGAGAAGCAAACAACACTAGAGAGTTCTCACCTCTACCAATGCTCAGACCAAAGGGTGGGCCACTGAACCTAAGACTGCTTTCAGCTGCATTTCTCCTCAGACTCCTCCCACCTTATATTCCTCCCTGGTGCTGGGATTAAACGCATGTGATCCCTAGTGTTGACATCACCTTTGTGTGAGCTGCTTCTCTTTTAGACTGGATTAATTTTGTGTAGCTCAGGGTGGCCTTAAACCAATAGAGATCTGTGTGGCTCTCTCTCCTATATCATAAACAAAATATCAGTCACCACTCTCTTTCCACAACAGCTCAGACGAGAGCACTCTCATGGACCAAAGTGGAGTTTTGCTCCTCCCAGTGACTTCTTAGACTAACCCAAAGGCCTTAGGAAAATAATAATGAATAATCACGAAGACCAGCAACACTAGAGTTAGCAGACCCCAGCTGCTATCCCAGCTCTGCCTCCACAGACACTGCCTCCACAGACTATTATATGATCCATATCATATCAAACAACAACTACTCCACTTCCAACCAACTCACAGACTCAATTGGTACCTGATTCCTTTCAGACTTGAACTCTTATTCAAAAAACTGCCTTTCCCCACAACTACTATTCTCTCTTTTTCTTTTTGGTTTTTTGAAACAGGGCTTCTCTGTATTGCTTTGGAACCTGTCCTGGCACTCTCTCTGTAGACCAGGCTAGTCTCGAACTCACATAAAGATCTGCCTGCCTCTGCCTTCTGAGTGGTGGCCACCAGTGCCCAGCTACAACTACTATTCTTCGTTTTTAATATTTATTTATTTCCTATGTATTATAACATTATGTCTGCATGTATCCCTGCAGGCCAGAAGAGGACACCAGTTCTCATTACAGATGGCTGTGAGCCACCATGTAGTTGCTGGGAATTGAACTCAAGACCTCTGGAAGAACAATCAGTGCTCTTAACCTCTGAGCCATCTCTCCAGTCCCAACAACTAATATTCTTATTGGTGGCTACTTCATTGTTGACAGAAAGTCCTTCTAATTCTACTGACTATACAGTTCTGAACCACTTCCACAGACCTATTCCTTCCCAGTCAGTGCCTTTCCCATGATTATATCCAGACTTGAATTAGAGAAATGCAACCCATATAAATGATTATAATCTTCTAGTGGCCACACCAAAAAAGTAAGATGAAATTTAAACTGTTTTTGTGAGACAAGGTCATGCCAATTGACCCATACTGACCTTGAACTCACTAAGTAAACCAGGGTTGATCTTAAATCCATGATTTTCCAGTCTCAGCCTCTCAAGTACTGAGACTACAAGTAAGTGTGCTATCATGCCCAACTCTGAAATCTGATTTTTTTCCCCCCCGGAACATATTGAATAATTAACCCAGACTAGGCTGGTACTCTACCAATAAGCTATACTTCCAGCTTAAAAGATCAGAATTTCAACAAGTAATCAATTTGAGGTATTTTACATTCTTTAATCTTAGGTCTTTAAAATCTGATGCCGTCCTGACACCTCAGCTGATCTAAATCAGATTAGGGAGAGTGATGTCTTGAGCAGCATAGGCCTAGACTTGGTCACTCTAAGCCAGGACCATAACAATTTCTTTAGATGATACCTACCAGTGTTTATGATCCCCACTAAGTTTCTCATTCTATTAGACTTCAAACCTGACCAACAACCTTTCATTCCATTCCCCCACTTGACTCAGCTTCTTAGGTTTAATTAATATTCCAATGTCTTGGCCCCTTTAACCTAGGGAAAGCGCCTTACTGCTTATGTCACACCACTACTGAAGCAGTCAGGGTTGAAGAGTCTTACCTTAAACTCAGAAACCAATCAGTAGAAGACTCTCCAGAAACTATACCACTTTCTCCTGTGATCTATACCCTTTCCCAGAAAATCATTTGCCTCTTCTTCATATCTCTCACCTTAGATATGGTCATGTTCTCATTTTCCTGGAAACCCAGAAGAAACCAGGGGACCACCAGCGCAAGCTTCCCACCCACCGCCTGACTACACATGTCTTCTCCTGAAAACTGTAAATGAAGAAGACAGGTAAGGTCAGCTCCCTTGATGGTGGAGCCCTCTCCTTGTGGGCTGGACCTTAGCTCCCTCCTATACTCAGAACATCAACTACTCCTCCCTTGCAGTATCAATACTTCCCTAGCTAAATCCTTCCAAAATTGATTTTATCTTTTCTGTATTTTTCTCTTCTTTTGGAGACAGGGTCTCTCTATATAATGCAGGCTGTCCTGGAACTCACTAGACCAGGCTATCCTTGAACTCAGGAGATCTGACTGTGTTAGCTCAGTCAGTAGAGCATGAGTCTTCATTCCAGGGTTGTAGGCTTGAGCACCATGTTGGATGCCAATTGAAGGCGGGGATGTAATTCTATCACTCGACCAAATATAAATGGTTGTTTTTTGGGGAACAATTACACAGAAAATTACAAAGACCTGCTGGAGCTTTTCCCTGCTCTTCCTATTGGATCCGCTGAAGGACCTGGGCAAGGAGACCAGGTATTATGCCTTAAACTTCCCTTTTTCTGAGTCCAGCTGCCTGAAGACACACCCAAAGGGGTGTGGCCACCATTACAGGTCCACAGACCAGAAGTCTACACTCTCCTTCCTGAGTGCTGGGATTAAAGGAGTGTACCACCATGCCAGGGTCTATATTTATATCTATGTAATACTTGTGTGCCTAGTACCCTAAGAATCCAGAAGAGGGCATCAGATCATCCAGATCTAGAGTTATATATGGTTGTGAACTGCCATGTGGGTGCTAGGAATTAAACCCAACTCTTCTGGAAGAGCAGCCAGGGTTCTTAAAAACCAAACCACCTCTCCAGCCCGTTGTCTATATTTGCCTCTCTCTATACATACATACACACACACACACACACACACACACACACACACACACACACATTTTCTAATCCCCTCAACACTTTCACAATGAGAAAGATGCCAAGACCAGACTTGGCAATTCTTTTTTTTAAGACAAGGGCTTATCAGGCTGGCCTTGAATTCTTGATTCTCCTGCCTCCAGGAATTATGGTCTGCACTACCACACCTAACTCACACTTGGTATTTCTCATGATGCAACACACAGCCTAAGGATTCTTGTTTTAAGAACTGAATTTGAACTGGATCAAGCTCTTAGAGTCAACTTTCACTTTACTTAGAACTAAGCTACAGCGATCACAAAGATGACAAAACAGAGGTAAAATATTTTAGGGAGATGCATGTACAAACATATAAAGCTATGACTACACCATGTCTAGGACCAAAGCCAGGATGACTCTTGAGAAATTCACTTACAAATCTTCTCTCACTGTCAGCCCTTAAGTATCTGACTGGAAACTAACTTCTCATTTATTTGATAGGGCTGTGAGAATTCATAAAAGGTTAAGAGGAATTAAGTCAGATACCTGTTCCTGTACCCCCACACCTACCCCAGGTAGCCTGCTGACTTTCCAAAGGCAGGGAAGGTACCAGAGGAAGGAGAGGGGAAGGCACTGACCAGTTCAGCATACTTCTTGCACAGTGCAGCCAGCTTCTCCTCTGGGGTACTCAGCGTGTTCAGTGTCTGCATCAGCAACGTGATCTCCTTCCCTGTAAAGCACAGGGAGAGTAAAGGTATGCACTCCCTCCTGTAGGGTTCCCTTGAGGCCCAGGCCTATGCTAGGACAGCTTCTCCCGTTAAGACTGTTGCTACCTGGAGAACTAGGACTACTTCAATCTTGAAGCTTCACGGCACATTCCCACCACAGCATGAGTATGTCACTAACAAATGCGCTTAAATGAACAGATCAATCTCTTTGGTAAGCACTGCTATTGAGAGGAAAAGCTATTTTAAAACACGAGTAATCTACTTATAAATTCATGGCTACTGTTTCAGTGCAAAGAAAGTCCCTTGATAAGAGTTAAAAAATCTTAAAACAACAAAAAGTCTGAGGTCCCATGAGAAATTAGACAAACTCCTGTCAAGACTCACCACACAGTTATATTTAAAATGAATGTATCCTGCTGGGCATGGGGGTGTGTGCCTTTGATCACAGCACTCAGGAGAGGCAGGTGGATCTTTTGAGTTCAAGGCCAGCCTGGTCCACAGAGCAAGATCCAGGACACCCAGGAATACACAGAGAAACCCTGGATTAAAACCACCGCCCCATAAATAAAATGAATGTCCTTTTCATAAGTGACCCTATAACTAAAAAAGAGGGAGAGGGAGAGAGAGAAAGAAAAAGAAGTCTCTCCTTAAATTAGGACAGGTAATAAATGAAAGAAACAGGGACTAAGACATGGTTATAATGTCACCTAACATATGTTTTTTTTTTTTCTTTGACAGAGGATCTTGCTATGTAGGCCAGGCTGGCTACTCCTCCTGGTCCTTATTAAAGGTATATACACCAGATCACAACCAGATCAGTTGAGATTCTAAATTGATCTCCATCTCCCTACCCCTATCAAAGGACTGCCAACGTCCTCCCCCTATTGTTATTTGTTTGAGATAAGGTCTGTGACTCAGAGACCTATTTGCCCCTGCTTCTCAAGTGCTAGGATTAAAGGTGTATGCTACCATGCCTAGCTGCCACTGACTGCCTGTATCTCAGTTAGGAAGCCTTGCAACTGCCTCCCTTGGTCTCCACTGTACTCACTATAGACCAGGTTCCTGAACTAGGCCCTGGGGTGGGGGTGGGGCAGGCACCAAGAGATTAGCATGGAGATTGCAAATCATCAATACACAGAACAAATCCAACCCATGGCTGGCTTTTGCTTGGTTTCTATTATTTTAGTTGCCAGTTATTCAGCTAGTTAGTTGAAAGCAGGGAACTCAACAGGTAGAAGTTAATTTTTCAGATAAAGTAGACCCTCTCTCATTTCTCAAGAGATCCATGCTTACCTGGTGAATGCTGACATTTGAGATCTTCACCTTAGTGTAACCCAATTTTCTTGCTTTTGAAACAAGGAAACCAAGACCCAGGCAAACATGCCCACAGGCAAAGAGCAGGCTGTTTCCACTCACTTCCAAGGACAAGAGACCTTGCCCAAGTGAGTGGCTTTGACTAAACTGAGGGATGTCCTATCTTGAGCAGATTCCTTCTAGAGTCCTGATGCAGCAGACTAGCCCATGAAATGACAGGCCTTTATTCTCTCCCCTCACCCAGCTGCCCTCTCTCACCCAAACCCTTGGCTTTCTTCTTTTCTTGTGTCCTTCGATGGTCTCGGTCTCCAACCTCATCACTTGCTCTGATCTCTTCTGAGCCTGGCTCCCCCTTGGAAGTCTCCTTCTCGCCGTTCACTACTGGAATCCCTGGTTCAGGCTCCCCATTCCTTGCTGCATAGGTTCGAGACTTCTCTGCATCTTCTGGCTCAGTGGGCTCACCCTGTGCTCCCTCCTCGCCTGGGCCTCCCTGATTGTTGTCGACACAGTATGTACTCAGAATATCTTCCAGCTGCCGGCTCAATTCCTCAGATACATCACATACAGGCCCAGACTTAGCTGCTTTGGCTTGAGCCCCTATAGCAACATGATTAGGACACAGAATGAAAATAAAATAGTTACACGACCTGCTTGAACTTCCTTTTTCTTTAACACTAGACAAATGCATTAGTTTGGGTTAAATGTTTTATTTGGTAGACAGGATCTCTCTACAGAGACCTGATTATCCTGGAACTCACTCTGTAGACCAGGCTGCCCTCAAAGTCAAGAGATCTACCGGCCTCAGCCTCCTAAGCGCTGGAACTAAAGGAGAGGGCCATTATGCCTAACCTCAGTTTAATTTTTTAAAACCCTAAGTTTACTTACTTATACATCACCCAAACACACATCTTATGACCATAAAAGACAATTATGACTGAGAAGTAATAGTGCATGGCTTTAATCTCAGCATTTGGGAAGCAGAGGCAGGTGGATTTCTGTGAGTTCAAGGGCAGCCTGGTCTACAGAGTTCCAGGACAGCCAGGGCTACACAGAGAAACCCTGTCTCAAAAAAAACCAAAACCAAACCAACCAAACAAACAAAAAAGACAAGTATGTACAGCCACCACATCAGGGCTGGTTGGCATGCAATAGAAGCTCCACCTCTAATTTATCTTTTCCCTGCTCAAAACCCATTTTTGGTTATTTTTATAGTTCTAGAAATGTCTCAAGTATGAAGGACAATTATCCCCCACTGGCAAGGGTTTTCTAGGAACATGACATTACTTGTGGGGTGTCTCTTTTCATTGTCATTTAGTTTAAACCAGTCAGAGCATGCTCCCAAGGTTCCATTACAGGGCTAAGAGCGGGAAGCTTCATAACCTCCCCGGGAAACACGAGAACACAGAATGGGTACTGTTTCATTCTATAGTTCCTCCTTCTGGGTAAACACTGGCCTCGAGGGCCAGTCCCAGAAACTCCTCCCTCTGCCCACTGGAAAAGCAGAGCAGGCACACACCCTCTGTCCTCCCAGGAGCCTCGGCCGCAGGAGCTGTCTGTCTGGGCCGTCCCTGGGCTGCCTCTGGTCCCGTTTCCCGTTGCCCCGGGCTGCTCTTCGGGTTGGAGTGTTTGGCAGGCCCATTCTTTTTGTCTTGGTTCTTCATTGTGATCTGCAAAGGCAGAAAACGGGTAGATCCTTTGAAGAGGACACAGCTGCTATTTTCAACACTTCAAATTTTTTTCACAATTTAGATCAGAAATCACAACACCAGGCGCTCCAAGCTTCAAACAAATTGGCCGGCCTTGGCCGGAGACTCCAGGGTCCCCTGCAGGGATTCCGAGGAGCTGGCCCCGAGGAGCGTGAAGAGGCCTCCTTTCTCCCGAAAGCCACTTCCCAGCAGCACCGCTCGGCTCCCCCTCGGAAGCCGGAGCGCGGGATTGGCTCCCCGCCGCAGCATGACGTGGCAGGATGCTCCAGTCCCAACCGGTGCCCCCGCCCCTCCCCCGGCCCCACGTGGGACCCCCGGGCGCGCGCGCCGATGCCACCCACAAACCCGCGCCCGCCAGGCCCACGGCACGCTGGCGCAAGGAGGCGAAATCGCCACAAAACCCCGCACCGAATTATTTATTCCTCAGCGGCCAACGCATCGCGGGCCACAGACCCTGTGAAGAGCTCGTCCCACCTACCGCCAGTAAACGTTCCTCACCACGGACGTCCGACGGCGTCCCCCGCTCTGTCCGGGCACCGGAAACCCGGGTAACCGCTGCCAGCAGGACCGCCCGCTCCTGCCGCAGCCAATGAACAGCTAACGCTGGCGCGGAGCTTGCTGGGAAAGACGAGGCCAAGGTGGCTTTGGAGTCGGAAGCGGGAACTACAAGTCCCGTCATGCAGTGCGGCGGGGCACAATTCCCGAGATGCAATCGAAAAGCCTTTCGTTTTAGGAGCTGTTCCCTGCAGGTCCGAAATTATGTAGTACAGTCTAGAGATTCCTGTCGGTCTCCTTTCTAGTGCAGAAGCTACGATTGGCCCTTAAGCCTTGGCGCTCGGTTGTCTTTTTCATACGTCCTTCCATTAGTCCCTTGTGTACGTGTATGACTGTTTCTAGGACCTCTGAGGACTCGAAGAGGAATAGAAGGCTGAACTGGAATTTTTGTTCCACTCCTAAACCAGTAATTTGTCATGTGCCTGGTGTTCTTTTTGCCCCTCTGTTCCAACAGAGGATTTGTAATAGTTCAAAGACTGTGTTCTTTTCTTGTATCTAATAGCTTGGTCCTCATAATTACTCGGAGAAAGAATACTTTTGTGATCTGGGAAATATGGGACAGTATGGAAAAGGCTAGACAGTTTTTTAAATTGCTTATTGTTATTTGTTGTTTTGAGACAATGTCTCGTTATGTGTAGCATTGGCTGGCCTGGAACTCTCTATGTCGATCAAACTGCTCTTGAACTAAAGACAAAGGCCACCATGCCCAGCTAAAGGCTATCTAATTTAAGACTGAATCAATATTGAGTGGTTATAGCAGATTCAAAGTCGGAAGCCTGACACCAGCACCCATCTTAACACTTTCTCCCAGAAGAAATAATCAACTTCACAGGCTTTCTCTGATGCCCTTTACTAGAAACCTCTGTCATCACCAGCTTGGCAGTAATACCTCTGTCAGGAAGGGATTGTCGCAGAGGGAGTTTGGCTTCAGGCAGCTTGGTGAACTCCCACCTCACCAACCCTGCCCCAATTTCTGTGAAGTTTCAAGTGCTTGCACATGGGCTAAAATTTTAAAACATTAGATTTTCTTGTCATTGCTTTTCATTATAATTAAGATGCCAGCTTAGGCCCAGACCCTTCAGAAACAAACACAATTGTGATTCAGTTCTTTTGTTGTTGTAGGTTTTCTTTTGTTTGATAAAGTCTTGTTTTATAGTGGTGGCTAGCCTGGGACTCTATATGTTGATCAGTCTGTCCTCGAACTCACAAAGATCTGCCTGCCTCTACGCCCCTGAGTGTTGGATTTAAAGGCATGTCTTACCACCTGGAGACAAAGCATTTTAACACTCAGTGCACAGGTTACTTTGAAAACCTGCACTTTGCCCTAGTTCCCTAGGTCTGCCTAGACTGTTGCTGTAGCATTTGCTGTGAAGTGGTGAGATTACCATTGGCTAAATGCTGCAGTCTCAGAGGAAAGAATCAGGCTGTGAGTAGATCATGTTGCAAATTGTGCTATTTGAACACTACTTTAGGGTCCTTAGATGTTGACCATTTTCTGCAATAGCTCTGTCACACTGAGTAGTGTTTTGTCTTTTCAGGTGTCACATTGAGAGATGACACTATAGGTCCAGTGGTAGAGCACTGCCCTAGATTATGTCCCAATAAACACATAGGAAATCTCTGAAGAGGCATTATATAGATCAGGTGGTCTCTATAAAATTTTATACAAAGAGGGTACTCTAGAGCAGTGGTTCTCAGCCTTACTGATGCAGCGACCCTTTAATACAGTTCCTCGTGTTGTGATGACCCCAACCATAAAATTATTTTTGATGCTACTTCGTAATTGTAATTTTGTTATTGTTATGAATCATAATGTAAATGCCTGTGTTTTCTGATAGTCTTAGGTGATTCCTGTGAAAGGGTCATTTGACCCCCGAAGGGGTTGAGATCCACAGGTTGAGAACTGTTACTGTAGATAGAGATTAAGAGGTGGCTCAGAGATTAAGAGCACTGGCTGTTCTTCTAGAGATCAAAAATTCTAATCCCACCAACCACATGGTGGCTCACAAGTATCTGCAATGAGATCTAGTTTCCCCTTTTGATGTACAGTTAAACATGCAGGCAGAACACTTTATACATAGTGAATTTTTTTTTTAAAGAATTTTTGGGGACGCTGGACATAATGGTGCACTCCTTTAACCCCAGCACAGGTGCACATGGACCTCTGTGAGTTGAAGGTCAGCCTGGTCTACATAGTGAGACCTTGTCTCAAAACAACAAAAATCTTAAAGGAGCTGGAAGGATGGGCCCCAGTCTGCTTGGTGGCAGAGGACCAAGATTAGATTCCCAGAATCCATGTGATGGTTATCAAGTCTCTAGACTCTAATTCCTGAGCATCCAGCACCCTCTGCTGGCCACCAGGAATGCACACAGTGAGTTTATATACATATGCAGGAAAACACTCATACAATAAAAATAAATTTTTGGAAAGGGTCTTTGGGATAAAGAGTGGGTTCATAGGCCAGGTGGTGGTGGCACATGTCTTTAGTCCCAGCACTTGGGAGGCAGAGGCAGGCGGATCTCTATGAGTTCGAGGCCAGCCTGGTCTATTGACGGAGTTCCAGGACAGGCCCCAAAGCTACACAGAGAAATCCTGTCTCAAAAAACAAAAACGAAACAAAAGAGTGCTTGGTGTGCAACAATGAGGAATGAAGTTTGGATTCCAGTGTCCATGTAACAAGTTAGAGGCCATCCTGTGCTTGCCTGTAACTCTGGCTCCCTGAGGTTTTCCTGGGTGGTGTGGAGAGCAGAGGACTGCTGGGGCTTTCTGGCTTCCAGCCTAGCCAAGAAAACTAAAGCCCTAAGTTCAGGCAGAGACCTTGTCTCCAAGGAATAGATAAAGAATAATAGAGGAGGACATTTAAGCCCTCTTTTGGCCTCCATGCAACCATACATATTCATGAATACTCATAGAGACAAATATGCCTACACATAAGAAACTAAATAACTGAGGGTGGGGAGAGTTGACTAAGTGGGCCACCATGGTCGCCACACACCTTTGGAAGAAGGATAGCAAATTTAAGGTCATTCTGGACAACCTAGTGAGTTTGAGGCCAGCCAGGGCAATTTAATGAGACTCTGTCTACAACTTTTTTTTTTTTTTTTTTTTTTTTTGGATAGGTTTTCTTTGTGAAGCTCTGACTGTTCTGGAACTTGATTTGTAGACCAGGCTGGTCTTAAACTCCCAGAGATCCTCCTGCCTCTGCCTCAGGAGTGGGACTAAAGGTGTGTGCCACCACTGCCCAGCTTAAATTTTTTTTAAAGACTTGTTTTGCCCCTAATTTTTTTTTTCATTCCATGTAATGAATGTTTTGTAGGCATGTATGTATGGGTACCATGGATGTTCCTGGTGCTTTTCTAGGCCAGAAGTATGTTAATATGATGCAAGTGCATACCTGTGTGTTATACACAACCTAGTGAGAAAGAAAAGGTATTCTTGGGGTGGGAGGTGTAGCAGGAAAGGTCAACAGTGGCCTCAATGGGACCATCTTGTAGGCAAGAAGTATAAGAGCTGATGACTAAAATGTGGTTTCAGAATTTGGTTTCTGGGGCTGAGGAGATAGTTCAGAAGCTAAGAGCACTGGCTGCTCTTCCAGAGGTTTTGCGTTCAATTCCCAGCAACCACATGGTGGCTCACAACCATCTATGATGAGATCTGGTGCCCCTTTCTGGTCTGCAGGCAGAACACTGTATAGATAATAAATAAATCCTTTAAAAAAAAAAAAGAATTTGGTTTCTGGGGCTGGGAAAATGGCTCAGCAGTTAAGAGCACTGGCTGCTCTTCTAGAGGACCCAGGTTCAATTCCCAGCACCCATATGACAGCAACTCCAGATCCAGGGGATCCAATACCCTCACTGACATACATACAAACAAAACCACCAAGGCACATGAAATAAAAATTAAAAAAAAAAAAAAGAAAGAAAAATGAATTTGAGCTAGGCAGTGGTGGCACATGCCCTTAGTCCCAATACTCAGGAGGCAGAGGCAGATGGATCTCTGTGGGTTTTGAGACTCATGGCTCAAGGCTTGCTACCTCGTTTTTTGCATGTCCTCTATGGTTGGCTGGTGTTTCTCTCAACCCCACTCCTCCTCATCTGAGACCTCAGTTTGATTGTTCAACCTAACCTTATCCTGCCTGGCTATTGGTCAAACAGCTTTTATTATTAACCAGTGTGAAGAATACATATTTACAGCATATGGGAAGATCATCCCTCAGCAGAAACCCTGTCTTGAAAAACAAAAACAAAACAAGCAACAGAAGAATTTGGTTTCTGGGCTGGGGATGGTTCAATGATTACATTGATTACAATGATTGTTGTCTTCCTGAGGACCTGAGTTTGGTGCCAGCAACCATGTCAGGCAGTTGTGAAATGCCTGTAACTCCATCCCTATGGAGTCCAACATCCTCTCAGGCCACCAGATGTAACACACATATACACAGATAAAAATTAAAAAATATTTTTTTATTTCTTACGTGCTATGAAACAATACACAGCATATTAGCTGGGAGATAATGATAGGGACCCCATAAAAACACAGCCCCTCTTCCCCAGCAGAAAGGATGCTGGGCGATTGTATGAAAGGCTCTGTGTGGCTTAGTAGCTCAGTGATAGTGTTTCCAGAGGACACAGGGTTCCTTTTCAGGTTTCCGGTCTTACACATGAAAGTTTCAAAAGGAAATGAAAAAGAAAAGACCATTTTAATAAAGTTTGAGAGAGGAAAACAATAGAATGGACAAGCTGGAGGTCTTGGCAGTTGGTAGGAAGGATATGAAAAAGAAAGCTTTGTTGTAGAGGTTGATAATACAACTTAGAGAACAAGGGACACACTGAAGAACTTGTGACAGGAGCCCTTGCTCCCTGTAGTTAAAAAATTATTTCCATTTACCTGTGTCTGTGTGAGTTTGTGTGCATCACATGCGTTCACAGAGGTCAGGGGTGTCACATCCCTTAGGACATTGGTTCTCAACCTTCCTGATGCTGTGACCCTTTAATACAGGTCTTCATGTTGTGGTCACCCCCAACTATAAAATTTTGTTACTACTTCATAACTGCAATTTTGCTACTGTTACGAATCATAATGTAAATACCTGCTATGCAGGATTATCGATTATCAGATATGTGATCCCTGGGTTATTTTACCCCCCCAAGAGGTCATGACCCAGACTGGAAACATTGAGACCCACGGCCTTAGAACTTTTAAGTTCCATGTGGCTGTGAGTCACCTGATATGGATTCTGGGAGCTGAACTCCAGATCCTAAAAGTAAAAGTAAGTGATCTTAGCCACTGAGCGGTCTCTCCACTCCTCCCTGTTCCTGTGTGTGTGTGTTGCTTTAATTTTATGGGTATGGGCATTTTGACTGTATGTATATCTGCACATTATATGTGTCCCTTGGGCCTGTGGAGGCTATGAGATCCCTTGGAACTGGAATTATAGGTAGTTTTGAGCTGTTTTGTGTGGGTGTTGGATCCTTTGGAAGAGCAGTAAATGTGAGCCATACCCAGCACTTCCTTGTTTTTTGTTTTTGTTTTTAATTGAAGGTGTACAAAGCAGTGTCTTACTCCATTGAGCCAACCAAGGAGGAAATGGGTAACATTATTTGGTTTAGTCTTGTAGCCAGCTAAGAGTTGTTCTAGGCGGACTAGAACTAAGGTAAAAGGGGGTTAAAACTGCATGTTGCCAACTTACCTCCTTGTTTTGCTGGCTTTGGGGCAGAATGAGTAAATCCAGCATCTAATGCTGTTCAGTATACCTTTGGTTTTGTTAGTCTTGAGTTAGTGTAAAGCCTGTGTCAATGATTCATTTTTTTAACTTTGCAGTTAGTCACAGCCTGCAGACCTTTATCATTAACTGACGTGAGTTACAAGCCTGGAGATTTCCACTGTTTGTAACCTGCTTCCTTTTGTTCTTTGTGTGTTAGGGATTGAAACCAAGGCACATGCTTCCAGGGCAATGGTGCTGTCCCTGAACTACACATTAGCCTTCTCTCTCTCCATTTTGAAGCAGGCAGGTCTTGGCATGGTCTCATTCTAGCTCAGGCTGCCTTTGGAATTTTCCATTTCACTATTTAACTTGTGGGTAGTGTGTGTGTGTGTGTGTGTGTGTGTGTGTGTGTGTGTGCTAAAGTGCTGCAGTACTTGTGTCAAAGTCAGAGTTGTGGGGCTTGGCAGAAAGTGCCCGTTACTGCTGAACCGTTTTGCTGGTCCTGGTGTTGAATTCTGGGCCCTAAGTGGCAGCTTGGCTCCTTTAAAAAAAATACCCTGTCTTCCAGGGTATTGCCAACAGTTCATGTCATTTGTGTCCAGAGTAGCTTACATATTGATATTCCTGTGTCAAATGATACCTGTCCAAGCAGATGGCATCCTGCCTAGTCTCCCCTATCACTGGGACTCCACCTAGTATCTGTGAAGCCTTGGTTAACAACTGGAAGAGTCTGTGAACATCCGACCTTCATGGGGTTTGTGGGGTGTTAAGTAAGTAATGCTGAACCAGAAGAGGCCAAGCTAGATCGTATAATGGGAGTGGAGGAGGGCGGGCTCCCAGGGACATACAGAAATTCAGGGAAAGTGAGGAATGTTCATAATCTTGACGGTGGTGCTGGTTTCAAGGGTATGCATTAACTTACCAAAATTAACATTTTAAATATACAATTTATTATATGCCAATTATATTTCAATAACATTAATTCAAAGTAAAAAATCCATAGGTGTTGGGGAGATGGTTCAGTTGGTAAAGTATCTGCCATACAGGTACGAAGGACTGAGCTCTGTCTATAACAACATGTAATCAGCTGGTGTTGTCAGGGTGAGACTGCGATCCCAACACCAGGGAGAACACAATGGCTTCCTATCCCTAAAGGGCTTGTGGCCTTGGTCTCCAAATGCATGTAAGTACACGTAATCTGATGTCATGTTGCCCAGCAGAGGCAACAGCCACCCTCCTCCAGCGCCCTGATGTAACCGTCATTCCCACTGTTGAAGTACACATTTGTAATCTGTCTCTTGTTTTTTTACACAGGGTTTCTCTGTGTAGCCCTGCCTGGAACTCAGATCCGTCTGCCTCTGCCTGAATGCCTAGACAACTTTAAAAAAAAAAATTTTTTTTTTTTTTTTTTTTTTGAGGTAGGGACTCATTTGGCCTAAGCTGGCCTTGAACTTACTAGGCAGCCAATAATCTTGAGCTCCTGACCTTCCAGGCTCTGCCCTCCCCTACCAAGTGCTAGTGGGGTTATAGACCTGCTATCATTCTGGCCAAAGCTTCATCTCTCAGAGTCAAATCTTATCTAGTAGTGGAGAGCAGCAGTGCTATCAACTTCAAAATTACGAGCTGATGATTGTGCCCAAGGTTTTTCTCATGGGAGTCATGGATCTCAAAGTCACGTGGCAAGCCCGTGTGAGAAACTCTATTGGTGGCTGGGTGTGAGCCTGTGCTTTGAGTTCCTTGAGTTTTGGCAATTATCAAGGAGAAACTTAAAAAACATACTACATATAAATTAACTACAGGTACGTGATTTCCTCCCCTGATAAAACTGTCACTTTTGTTAACTAAGGCCTTTTACCTGCTGAGACATGTTGATGTCTCCCTTTGTTTTTGAGACAGGCTGACCTTGAATTTCTGAACTTCCTGATGCTACTAGCTTGCATGGTCCTGAGAGTTGGTCTACTTCCCAGGCCAGGGTCATTCTAAACCAAAGAAGACAATTTAGAACTTTGCAACAGGTTTTTATTTTTGCTTTGTATCTATTACAGTGTTTGAAACCTAAAGAAATACATTTTCTCTTCAAATTTGGATGTGTATATAAATATCATTTGTCTGGACTCAGCACACTCAATGCCATGGTTTCTTGGCCTATTTCTGCTCTGAAATCAAGCTTTGTTTGTCTACCCAGGGGCCCTGAGAACATGAAAAAATAGAGTTTACAGTTCTTAGAAAAATAAAAGCAAATGAATTTGGAAAGCAAAACCTGTGAGGATTAAATTCAGCTTTTTAGGGTTCTTACCTGGAAACCCAAGCTGTCCTTGAGCGATTGATGTTCTATCTGCTGGGTAGCTGAGACCTCATACCCACTTCATTTATTTAATAGGTCAAAAAAGGCATTTCTCAAAAAAGCCACTACCCACCTCTGGCTTCTGAGGGTTCATGGTGTGAATCTTTGACATAGTTTGCAGGCAGTCTCAGGACCTGAGCTGAGACTTCCTTCCCAGCTCTGCACATGGTGTATCACTTCCTTCTCTAAACTTAAACATTAGAACCCCAGGAGTGCAGGGCTGGCGGGCAACACTGGCATATGCTAGTGTGAACATGAAAAGTCAGGCCAGCCTAGGAACAGGTAGGTAAGCCCAAGCCCTTGGAGACACATCACATAAGCCTTTCCCCCTCTGGTGTTCAGGTTCCTCAAGTTACGGCGGCTGCTTTTCTCACAGCCAGTTTTGGTCCTGTGTGTAGTTCAGGCTTCAAACAAGATGCTCTTTTAAAAAGAAAGTAAGTTTTCATTCAGATTCGGTTGGAGTTGACCTCAATTCTTCCATTGCTGTGCATGTCTTATTCTGGGATGAGACTAGGGAATAGACGGGGCCGCTGAACCAGCTATGAAGGCCTTTGGCCAAAGAGCAGCTAGTGTCCACCACATGGATCCTTAGAGGGGCAAATTCTCAGTTCGTTGGCTTAACAAAAGAATACAAAAGGTAAAACAGAGAAAATACTGGATGAGGTTGGGCTAGAGTGCACCAGAAGCTGTCTCTTAGGGCTATGCAGGGGCGTGTCACTTGAAGAGCTGCTCTTGCTCAGTGTCTTGCACCCTTCCCCAGCCTGCTAGGGAAGCTTGCCATCGTCCTGTCCCCTCTTGGGTCTGCAGGGACCTGGAGAAGCTGGCTTTGTACCTTCAAGAGGTTAGAGCGTGAAGAATGCCCAAGAGGATGGATACCAAAGTGAGTGAACCTGGGGAGAGGGGATGAGCTCTGCACGAGAGCGGAAGCCTTCAGGGAGGGCATGCAGAGTGGGGGAAGAGGATGGAAGTGCTATGCTTCCAGGCAGACAGGAGCAGAACCACAGTTCCTCCATACAGGAAGTTTGACTTTTGACTGGATTGGTTTCAGAGAAGTAGAAAGTTCATGTGTAAGAACCTTCTTTTCATCTCCCTTAGCTAAATACGAAAGCAGCTATAAACTCTGGTTAGCTTCAGCACACCTGGGAGATGACTTCCAGACAGAAGGGAGCAGCAGTAGATACAAGGTCCCAGGTAAAGGAAAACACCAAAGCTCTTTAAAAAAAAAAAAAAAAGTCAACACCTACTTCCTGGAAGTGTGTATGTCCACAGACCCAAGTAACAATGGTGCCAAACAGGATGGAATTCATATGGTTATACTAAAAAGCTGCAGCCAACATGAAGGCTTGTAGTCACTGGGGAGAGCTGGACTGAAGACAGTGTTTAGGGTGGACCACTCTGTCAGTCATTAAAGAGGATTTCAGTGCAATGCCTAGAGCAGCTAGGTAACCAACCTCTTCCATCTGGTACTGGATACAGGTCTGAAGCCAAAGAGATACCGGAGAAAGGATGGGGGAAGCAGATTAGGCTTCATACAGAGAATATGGTTCCAATGCCAAGGGCTTATTAACTTTTGCTTGAGATGTGCGGAGTAGCTCCCACTACAGTGTTTTGCTCTTCAGATAGGGGTGGTGACAGCGGTCCTGGAGAGCTTTTCTTTGAACTAGGAACAGAGTTTGTAGTAAAGCTGCAGACCAGGTTTTTTTTTTTTTTTTTTTTTTTTTTTTAAAGGGCCCTGCCCACTGCCTTCCCAGAAGGCCAGAGGGTTGATAAGTAATATTTGATCTGCCAATGTGGTCCAGTGTTCGCCAAAGCTTTCAGAATCAACCACCAGCCCTGAACTACTTTTCATAGGAACAGGGCCTCCAAATTGGGAGATGGCAAACTGAAGGCCAGTGGCCAACAGCAAGAACCTGAACTTTAGATCTGCAAGTGTGGGAGATCTGTGGGAACAGGAGTAAGAAGGCTGTTTGTAGAGAAAGAAAAGTATAGATGATATCAGGACACCTCTGCTTCACCACAGTTGGGTACTGGGCTGCTAGCTCCACAGCTGATTTATACCTAGCTGACAATGCACCCCACTCCCCTCTCCAGAGCTTAGTTTTAGTAAAATGTGTAACCTACTAAAACACAGGCCAGCCTGAGGCATTGAGTTAGCTTTACTCAGAAAGAAAAGGCATTTGTGTAACTGTCACAAGAAAGGGGAAATCCAAGCTGGGTACAAGGACCCTCAGAAGGGAGGTGCCAATAAGCTCTCAACAAAGTATCCAGGTCACCAAGGTTCTCTGATAACAGGAGAGGCAGCATGTCGTGACTTATTTGGGTAACGGACTGATACTGAGTTAGAGAAGGCAGGCTGCTTTCTGCTCAGAAGAAAGGACCAGAGCAGCAGACTTCACCAGGCCCCGAGGCCCTCTTTGCTCCTTTCAGGTACCGGGATAATCAGGCCAGGCTGATTTACTTCATAAAGGCTCCAGAGGTGAGAGAGAGTTGGTCCCAAGTGGTGACTCAGAATCCAAGCAGAGAAGAAAAGGACCAAGTTCAGCCCTTTGAACAGGAAGCTTCTACATCTCTTTCTGGTCTTGCTCACAGTATCCCACTCACAGACAGTTTGTCCTCCTAAGACCAATTAAGACTGACCTACTTAAAATATAGAATATAAAAAAAATACAGAACTTTTTGACATTCTCTCCTTTGGAAGTAAAATATACATGATCCAACTATGGCAGAAGGAAGAAGAAAGGCCAAAGGCAGGGATTCCCGACTATCCCAATACACGACCCTAACTCCAACCTCCTCTGCAACGTATGGGTCATCAGAGCAAGGACTTTCTCCTCAGGAGAAGGGAGGACCACAGCCCCCATCTCAAGCTCAGGAGAAAACACAGCCACCTCAGAGGTTCATTCAACTCTGAGGTGAATTTTCAAGTAAACAAATGAAGTTGGGTTGCACCATGTAGGAGGTGGGTAGGATACAGGGTCAGTAGCTACACAGGAGAAGCCCTGTCTGAAGGCCTGTGCTCCTCCTTCCCACTCCCACTGGTAATTTGTTCCAGGAGAGTGAGGGAGGAGAGGACCTCTGTCTCGTGGGGCCTCCTTATTAGCCTCTACTTCCAGACAATGCTGGCAGCTGGGTTCCTAAAACCAGCTTTTGGGAAGAGCAACCTTAATACAAGAAAAATGTGCAAAAGAAAAAATTAAATAACCAATCCAAGCATACAAGATCAATATTCGGTCAGAGCAAGAACACTTTGTTTTGGACTTCTCCCCTCCCCTCCCACCTCCCACCTCTGGAATACTCCATCTGCTCAAGTACCCAAGATAAGAGTTACACACATCAGGGCAGAGGACTAGGATGGATGAAGCAAGAATAATGGGAAGGAAGTCACCACTAAAGAAAATAAAAGAAAAAAAAAAAATTTAAAGGTGCAAATTGATTACCTCAGTCCTCCTTTGTCTACCCCTGGGCTCCTGGGTTAAAGACATGTGTGCAGCCAAAATAAAGTGTAAGGAAGAAAAACCCACACGTCCCCTTCTTGTCACAAAACCCAGTGTGAGCCTCAGATGGTTCTGTCTGTCCAGAGGGTGCTCCCTCCAGGGAAGGGGATGAACAGGTCAAGAGCACAGTCTCCAGGGCAGCAGGTGCATGGTGGCTGCTGGTGGGGTGGCTGTTTTCCTTGCCCACCACAGGGCTGCTCTTCTGCTGGCTGGTGGTGCTTCCCATGCCCTCCCCTCCCCGGAGGCAGACATTATAGCTGGAAGCCCTCCATGGGGGCCTCAGGCTGTTGGAAGATGAACTGCTGTTGTGTTTCATCCACCTGAGGAGCCAGGCTGCTGTCATCATCTTCTACACCAAAGTAGTGCTCAATGAGGTCAAAGGCCTTCTGGTAGATTTCCTGGTTCTCGTGGCTCTGGAGAAACTCAATTTTATCCAAGCCTATGGTGGCAAGAAGAAACACATGTCCTTTTCCTTTCCCAAGGTACAAATTTCCAAACAAAAGTCTTAAGATCGTATCATTCCTTGACCTGAAAAAGGAGTCAAGGTCTCTTCCCAAATTATAGAATTGCAGAAGAAGTAAAAATGTCAGCTAAGTAGAGGTTCTAGAGAACTAAACAACTCAGTTGTAAAGTGCTTGCCCCAAGAGCACAAATTTTCACCCTAGAGCCCAAGGCCAGGAAAGGTAGCTGGCACTTACAACCCTAGCAAGGGTGGGGAGGACAGTGTTGGGACAAACTGCCTGGGCGCTCTGGTTGGCTTGTCAGCAGGGCTTCCTTAGGGAAACAATCCTATCTCAAAAACAACAACAGCAATGCAAAACAAAAATACCAAGGTGTCTAGCTCTTCTTGAGGAACGACACCTGAAGTTGACCTCTGAACTACACATACATGTACATACACATGCATGCATGTTAGGATGAGCACACACACAAATTAGAGGTTGGAATCTGAATTCTGTTTTAACTAACTCTAGGCAAAACATGATTTGTCTCTTCTGAGATGGGTTTCTCCACGTAGCCTTGGCTGTCCTGGAGCTTCCTCTATAGACCACCTGCTTCTACCTCATAAGCGCTGGGACTAAAGCTGTGCGCCATCACTGTCTGACTGCAATCCAGTATTTTTACAGGAAATAGTGTGGTCTTTTAGCTCCTGGTGATAGTAGCAAATTTTGGAATGTTCCTCCTTGTATCTGTACCATATCTACTTTTGAGATAGGTAGAGCCTGTGAGAACAGCACTGACCTATTGCTCCTTAGAGGGAGAAAGAATACTTGGATATTAATTAGTTCTAGCTACCTGTTAGTCAGTACATGTCAGTTACTCCCAAGGAAAGGTCTGTACCCCATACTTGGTATAGCTTGGCTGGAACAGGAACTCATCACTGGTTTAGAAGCACAGATTGAAGACTGGTGAGATGACTCAGTGGGGAAAGGTGTTTGCTGCCAAACCTGACAATCCTTACAACCCACATGGTGGAAAGTGAGAGCTGACTTCTGCAGGTCCTCCCATGAGTGTCATATCACGTGTGTGCACACTTAAATATGTACACACACAAATGAGTGGATAAATAAATGTAGTGAAAAGTAAAAAATTCAACTAAGTCCCAGTTTCATAAAATGTGTGGATGTGCTCTAACATTTTCCCCACAACAGACATTATGTGAGATCAGGGAAAGAACTCACCATAGGCTTCCTCAATGAGGCCACAGTAGGGATTGACCCCTGAGCCACTACGTTTGCCCTCTTGCTCTCCAAGCCGCAGGATGTTCTCTAGTCCATTGAGGGCCACTTGCACAATCTTTGAATCCATTACAGTCAGCAAGTCACACAGGGGTTTGATGCAGCCTAGTGACACCAGGTACCTGGGAACCAGAGATGAAGTAAGGTATAAATTAATGCAGATCAAGTAAAGTGTTAGGCCTCCCTCATAGAAACCAATACTCTCAATAATGCACTCTTCCTGAGTCTTGATAGTCACCCAGCCTTCACCTCAATCTCTCTACCCCTACTGTGCCATTGATCTAATTCTCTAACGAACACACCAGAGTCCTAATGTCACCTCGGCCACAATATTATTTTTCTAGAGGCATTAAGAAATTCTCTAGTTTCCTTAGTTCTGAGTACAAACTCTATTTAAGTTAATACAACATGTCTACAATCTGGTTCCTATCTTCTTTAGCTCTATTCAAAATATCCCTTTCTGGGGCTGGAGAGACAGCTCAGGGGTTAGGGGTACTGGCTGCTCTTCCAGAGGTCATGCGTTCTATCCCCATTAACCACAGGTGGCTCACAACCATCTATAATGAGATATGATGGCCTCCTCTGGTGTACATGCAGGCAGAACACTGTATAATCTTTTCTTTTTAAGAAATTACTTTCCAAGGTTACTAAATTGTCAAATTTGAAAAGATCTCCAGATTTCTGATTCTTGGGCCTTGTCATATATTGTTTTATATTGTTTTCTTATCTAACAGGCATACTATATAACGCTGTATTTAATCCCCCCGAGCCCTTTTAAAAATGGTTTCTTTATATAGCCCTTGATAGCCTGGTGTTCACTATGTAGACCATGATGGCCTCAAATTCACAAAGACCTGCCTATCTTTACCTCCAGAGATGTTAGATTAAAGTTGTACACCACCATGTCCAGGTTATATTTTCCTTTTAATATTTAATTTGATGGCTCTTCCTTTCTCCTGAGACTTTATATATACAGACTGTATTCCCTTCAGTAGGTTATAATTACAGGAAAAGCACTTACTGTCAACCATTCCTTGTATAGTTTAGACAATGTAAACTAGAATAAAAGAGCATATGTACAACTGGGCATGGAGACATGTATCTATAATCCCAGCACCTGAGAGGCTAAAGCAAGAGGAGAGCTTGGGATACAGAGCCCTCATCTAAAGCAAAACAAACAACTAACAAAACACCAAGCTGAAGCTGGGTACAGAGGTGTGTGCCTAATCTCAGCACTTGGGAGGGAGAGGTAGGATATGCCAGCTGTCTCAAGACTCTATCTCCAGGAAAACAACCACTACCAACAACACAGGAATCTATTCCAGAGTCGAGTATCATTTAGAGGCTTACCAGTTACACCTTATTACAGTTAGACTAGGCCAGACCTTTCCCATCAAAAGCCACTTAGAGTTATCTAAAAAACAATGAACAAATGAGACCACATATCACTTAAGATGTTGGGGAAAAAAAAAAAAAAATCATACCTGATTTGCTCAGGGGTTCCTCCTGACGTGGCATTGGTAATGGCCCAGGCTGCTTCTTTCCTTGTACGGAACTCTGCTTTCTGAAGGATTTCGATCAACACAGGGAAGATATTTGCATCTATGACAGCCTGAAAGAGAAATGAGGAATGAGGACAGAGGCAGAAAGACACTTTAAGGAGAAAAAGCAGAAGGGTCAGGTGTGGTGACATGCTTGTGTAATCCCAATACTTGGAAGGCGGAGGCAGGAAATCAGGAATTCAAAGACATTTGAGGCTAGCAGAGCTAAGATAGGATAGGTCTCAGAGGAAACGGTGAAGAAAAAGCAAACCTAGTACAAAAATTACAATTTTGGCTTCTCAATGACCCACCTGAACATTCTCCTTTGTTCCTTTTTTTTTTTTTTTTTTTTTTTTTTCTTGAGACAGGGTTTCTCTGTGGCTTTGGAGACTGTTCTAGAACTAGCTCTTGTAGACCAGGCTGGTCTCGTACTCAGAGATCTGCCTGCCTCTACCTCTCGAGTGCTGGGACTAAAGGCGTGTGTTACCACCGCCCAGCATTCTCCTTTGTTCTTACCAGAGATTTGACAAGGAGTGGAGAACTTAGATTCTACTATGTAGAGCCTTTGACCAACCGATCATGCTGACCCCAATTATTCTGGTAGTCTTGGGCACTGAATCCAGGCCTTGCACACCTTAGGTGAACATTCTACTACCAAGTTACACTGCTCATCCTTTGCCTTGACTCCAATTTCTAAGGGGAAACAAATCTACCTGTATTTGAGCCCTATTGCCAGCAGTGATGTTTGAAATGGTCCAGCAAGCTTCCTTCCGGATTGACTCCTTGGAGCTGCTCAGCAGGTGGAGGAGGCAAGGGAGGGCTGAACAGTTAAGAATGACCTGAACAAAAGCACAAGAAATAGAACAAAAATAGACATATAGAGTTACTTAAATTAAAAATGGGTATGCATCAAGGCACCATAAACAGTGCAAAACAAACCCACAGTATAGGAGAAGATACTTGCAAAGCACATATTGGCAAGCATTAACATCCAGAATATATAAAGAACTTCTAATATAACAAAAACACCCTAAGCAACCCAACAAAAATAAGAAAAGGGCTTGAAAAGACATTTCTTCAAAAAAGACTCAACAAAATAGCAACAAAATAGGCTCAACACCACTAATCAGAAGAAACAAAAATCAAACCATGAGATAGCACTTTGTACTCATTAGGATGGCTGTTATAAAAACATCAGAAAATGAGACATTCTTCAAAGAGAGGGAGAATCTGGTGCTAGTAGAGACTTAAAATGGCACAGCAGCTAAACTAGTAAAAATTAGCATAAATTACCATGATATTTGATCTCTTTTGCATATACATGAACAAAAGAAATGAAAGCAGAGGCTTAGCTATATACCAGGTCCACAGAGGCATTATGCACAAGACAGCTGGGTATCAGTAGTAGCACATGCCTTTAATCCCAGCATTTAGGAGGCAGAGGCAGGTGGATAGATCTCTGTGACTTCAAGGCCAGCCTGGTCTATAGAGCGAGTCCTAGGACAGGTTCCAAAGCTACACATAAAAACTTTGTCTTGAGAAACAAAAACACAAAAAAACCCCAATGTGCTCAAGATAGATGAAGGGGATTTTAAAAATAGAGTCAGTATATACAAACTTTCATTCAGCCTTAATAGGAGGATTTTGACATATGCTACAACATAGGTGAACTTTGAAGACATTATGCTAACTAAGCCAGATATAAGGAACAAATATTGTGTGACTCCACTTATAATCCAATGGAATAAAACTCTACATCAACAGCAACAGAAACTAGAGCACACACTGACTCATGGAGTTTAAGCCACATACTTATCACTGAAGAAATCAATGGAAACCAGCAGAGTTCTAACTTTTGAACAAGGGGAACTTATTGTGCCCTCACTGTAGGAATCATTCTTTTGTTTCCATGTTCCATTATGTGCTCATGTGTTTGCAGGGTACACAGTGGTCCTTCCTACTTCAGTTTCCCCATTAGACACACCACTCTGCTGCTGGTTTGTAGGAATTATTTCTCATATATTTGTTTTTTTCCCGTTTTTGAAATAGGGTTTTATGTAGTTGAGGATGGCCATTAACTAGCTGACCCTCTGCCTCTCAACTCTTGGTGCTAGGATTATTAATGTTTGCCACACAGGGCTCAAAAAGTTACTGTGAGTTTAACACAAGGTGATGTCTACAGGATCCTAAAGGTCTAGAAAGTATTGGTAGAATTTTCTAGTATCTTCTAGTATCTCAAAAGGATCACAGATCAGATGTAACTCCTTATCATGTCTTAGTAAATCCAGTCATTCCATTTAGCTTTCTTTTCACAAGTACCAACTGGATGAATTGTTTCTAATTTGTTTAAGAAGAAATTCTGATCAGAGAGAGTGACAGTGCTAAAACTGCACCCCCCTCCCCCACAAGACAGGGTTTCCCTATGTAGTTTTGGAGTCTGTCCTGGAACTAGCTCTGTAGACCAGGCTGGCCTCAAATTCACAGAGAACCACCTGCCTCTGCCTCCTGAGTGCTGGGACTAAAGATGCGTGTCACCAACGCCTGGTTAAAACTACATTTTAAAAAAGCCATTTCTCTGCTAGATGATGCAGCCTCTCTTTACAGAGGAAGACTTTTATTTATAAGTAACTCTGCTTGCTTGTTCTCCCACAGCTGCCCTAAGTTAAAAGATCCTAACCCCCTCTTCTTTCTTACCTGGGTCTGGATGTCATCCCCAGTGACAATGTTACCCACAGCTCTCAAGGCAGGAGACGCCACTTTGTAATCATTGTGCCTAAAGAGGAAGAACAGCTCATCACATTGTACTCAGTCTTGCTGAAAACCAAGGCTGGCAGGCAGCATTACAATCTGCTGTTTATAACTTTCTTATTTGGTTTTATAAGATGGTCTCACAGCAGCCTAAGCGGTCTTTGAATTTGTGATTCTCCTGCCCCAGCTTCCAAATGTTGGGATTATAGGCATACACCACCACACCCAGTTTAGGACAGAGCTCTTTGAACTTGGTGAAGCTAAGGAAACTTTTATCCTCTTAAACTGAAGCAACTCACATCAGAAGTTCTACCAATCTCCGGCAGACTCCAGAGTCTATGACTGCCTGGATCTTCTCATTGGGGCCATCAGACAGGTAAGAGAGGGCCCAGCAAGCATCTGCCAGCAAGTCTGAGTCGCTACTGAAGAGTAGACGAGACAATACAGGCAAACAAGGAGAGACCTGTTGGAAGCAAAGTGAGGAGGACTGATACAGGGCCACATTGGCACTATCACCCTATCATTGCCACCCATTCCCAACAAGTAATCCTAGAGCCTGGGAATGTCACCAAACCTGCAGGCCCACCTTTTCACTTTCCTACCAAAGTACACAAGGTCACCCACTGCACCGACAAATGCCTTTTAGTTTCACATGATTTGAGACTCACAGGGGTCTTCCCAAAACTTAAAAGACTTTGTATAATGGAATCTGGTACCAGTTAAGACTAGTAAGTAGTTCTCACCTTTGCAAATTCTGGAGGTGGGTTCTTCCCTCGGCAGAGGTTTGACAGTGCCCAGACTGCATTCCGTGTCATTGTCAGTCGTGTGGACTTAGTAAGGAGTCTGGAGGAAACAACAAAGTCATAATCTGAGCATTCATTGATGTTCTAACACAGGGCTGTTTCCAATATACCCTAGAGGCAAACCCAGACCCCTAAAACTCTGTCCTGAAACTAGCTCTGTAAATAAACCAGGCTGGCCTTGAACTCAGAGATCTGCTTGCTTCTACTTGAGAGTTGGGATTAAAGGTATGTGCCAGGCCCAGGGCCTTACTATCTTAAGGAACCTAGCAAGCTGCCCCCAAAATGTACTACTATGTAGCCATCCTACAGATGTCCCAGTTGCAAATGATCATAATTACTCACGTTAACAAAGGATTAAGGATCGAACAATTCAAGACGTAATCTCTGCAAACCGAACTGTCTCCAGCTATGTTTCCCAGAGCCCAGACTGCCTGAAAAGGGAGGATGGAACTGTCACTCATGGAGTCTGGTAGCTTCTGGGATTACTGGTTGTTTTTTGTTGTTGTTGTTGTTGTTCTTTTTGGTTTGTGGAGACAGGTTTTCTCTGTGTAGCCCTGGCTGTCCTGGAACTAGTTCTGTAGACCAGGCCGTCCTAGACTCAGAAAATCCATCTGCCTCTGCCTCCCTAGTGCTGGGATTAAAGGCGCTCCACACCACTGCCCAGCTATTCAAGTGTTTTCATAATCCATTCTTCAAAGCAAGACCTCTATGTTATAGAGTGGTGTGGTACAAGTTCTTAGCCTCTAACTGTGCTTGTCCATGCTAGGGACTAAAGCCATTCAAAGACTACCTAGCTGCTCCCTTCTGATTAACTTCACTATACAGACTCAGGTGGTTCTGTAAGTAACAAGTGATACTTTTACAACTGACAAACTTCCAAGACCTGTAAGAAAGCCTTGAAGAACTGGAATAAAACCCCTAAACACATTTTTTTTTTTTTTTTTGCTTTTGCTCTTTGAGATAGGGTCTCTGCTTGGCTGTCTTCCATCACAGGTATCTGACCAGGTATCTGACTGCCTCAGACTCCCGAATGCTAGGATTAAAAGTATGTGCCAATGAGCCTGCCCTAAATATAATTTTTTACTATACTGTCAGTACCATCAAAACTTTAATAAATTCTCTTGGGCATTACCTGTTCTTGTACATCTTCAAAGTCTGAGTTAAGCAGCTCTATAAAAATGGGGACAGCTCCTGCTTCAATGACGATTTTGGTCTGCTGAGAAGTTCCGGAGGCAATGTTTGTCAGAGCCCAAGCAGCTTCAAACTGAAAGTGAGATTAGGCCATAAATGAGAGGTCATTCAGACCCAGCAATTGGACCTGCCATCTGCCTTAAAACAGCAGAGCTCTATAGAACATAAAGAAACCAAACCCCAACACGTGTCTTCACCCACCATCCTTTAGGTAACGGAAGAGCAACAATGTGCATAACAGAGTCCTGAACTATGTGATACTCATGGCTCACTTTCCCATTTCCTGAGCATCAGTATTTTTATCTCTGAAACAAGGATAAGAGTGGTGGTGGTGGTGGTGCACGCCTTTGATCTTAGTACTGGGGAGGCAGAGGCATGCAGATCTCTGTGAGTTCGAGGCTAGCATGGTCTACAAAGCTACACAGAGAAACCATGCAAGAGGGATGGTGTTTTCTTCTCCTCCTTCCCCTCTTCAAGGTCTTACTCTGCAGCCAAGGCGGGCCTAAGCTGCTGCTGCTTCTTTTTTTTTTTTTTTAAAGGATTCATTTATTTATTATGAATACAACTTTCTGCCTTCATGTATGCCTGTATGCCAGCCAGAAGAGGGCATCAAATCTCATTATAGATGGTTGTAAGCCACCATGTGGTTGTTGGAAATTGAACTCAGGACCTCTGGAGGAGTAGCTAATGCTCTTAACCTCTGAGCCATCTCTCCAGCCCCTGGCCTAAGCTTTTGCCTCTGTCCTCTATGCACTAGAATTAAAGGTATGAGCCACCGTACCAGGTTGAGATGGCTTTCAACCTTCCCTCTGCTGTGTCTCTAACAAGGTCTGATGGACTTGTTCATTATCTGATTCTAGAAAACTGAGACCCAGAGAGGCAGGGTCGCCAAGTTAGGGGTGCACTAGATCCACTGATATATAATGACAAACAATGTATCACATTCTGGGATCTCTGAAATCAAAACTTTTCTTCATGAGTTTTCTTTTTTCCTTCCTTCTCCCCACCCCCCAAAAGGGTCTTGCTATGTGGCCCAGGCTGTATCAAACTTGTAGCAATTCTCATGCCCCAGCCCATTGTATGCTGAAAATATTTGTGTATGCTGCCACATCTGGCTTAAAACACTGTCCTGGAGCTAGCTCTTTAGACCAAGCTGGTCTTGAACTCAGAGATCCACCTGCCTCTGCCTCCCGAGTGCTGGGACTAAAGGCATCTGTGCAACCACTGCCCGGCAATCATTGAGTTCTTAAACTAAACTGTTTTTTTCTTTAATTTTGTGTATCTGTGTGTGTACCTACATGCAATAGCATGCCTGTGGAGATCACAGGATAACGTGCAGAAGCCAGTTCTCTCTTTCCACAATGTGTATGTATTCTAGGTCACACTATCAGTCCTGGTTGTCCTGGAACTCATTCTATAGACCAGGCTGGCCTCAACCTTATAGAAATCTGTCTGCCTCTGCCTCCCAAGTGCTGGGATTAAAGGTGTGAGCCACCATTGTCTGGCAGGATATTTTTCTTAAAAACTCATGGTGCAGACTTGCCTGGTCTCAAACAGAGATTTGCCTTCCTTTGCTGGTTGAAAAGGTTATGCTACCACACCCGGCCCTGAAACTGTTTTTTAAGAAAGACACTTGAATTGATAGTTTCTCAATATTACTATTACTTCTCCATTTCCTTAAGATATGCCTGCAGAAACCCACTGTCAGGTCTTGAGAACTTTCACCCAGATAGCTCATGCCTTGGAACCTTTACCTGTAATGTACAATTCTCACTCCTCTTCAGAAACTCCACAAACCGGTCAACTACTCCTGGAGTGTTAATAACTTCATCTATTGGAGGACTCGGCTCTAGAGCAAGATAGGAAAGACACAAAAAGTCAGTGATCCATTCAGTCTTGGATGCTTCTGACCACTCTTACAAACATTGCAAAACTGTCTTTTGTTCATCTACAAACTGCACGTTACAAATATAAAGGCAATCCTAATTTAGATATATGCTTAACTGTGGCTTACTAAATGTGATATAACAGAAAAAGAGTGAAAAAAGGCCAAAGAATAAGCAACTATATCCTTGTATACATTTCCCTTTTAACAAAGTTCACTATTCTTTTCTTGGGAGGAATGTTTAATATACCCCAGCAGCAAGAGATACTTTTGCTTCCATATACTTTGTTCTTAGGATTGAAAACCAATAGCAGAGCCTTGCACATCTGATACATCGAATTTTTATAGAGCAATCTGTTAAGACACAGTTCTAGACACTGAGGACAGAGTATGAGCAAAGCCAAAGTCCCTGCACTCACAGAACTTAGTGTGGCAGTGAGAGGTGGGCTGTTAGAAAGCAGTTTGTAAGGACAGATTTGCCAGGCCATGGTGGCGCATGCCTTTAGTCCCAGCACTCAGGAGGCAAAGGCTGGTGGCAGATCTCTGTGAGTTCAAAACCAGCCTGATGTACAAAAGCTGGTTCCAGGCCAGCTTCCAAAGCCACAGAGGAATCCTGTCTCAAAAAAACAAACAAAAAAAACAAAAAAACAAAAAAAACAAAAAACGGCCTTCTTCCACTTTTATCAAGAGTGTTTCACTGTATAAATGAAGGCTGCCTGGAACTCACAGAGATCCACCTGCCTCTGAATACCCAAGTGCTGATATCAACGGTATTCGTTATCAATACCTGGCTGTATCAGAACTGGGGAGGTTCAGGTAGAAGGACCTTGAGTTCATGGACAATAAGACTATCTTAAAAAAAAAAAAGAAAAAAAAAAAATAAGAGTTTTACCTGCAGACTCTTCTCCAATATATTATAAGAGTCAGGATAGGCTTCATTAAGAAGTTGTAACAAAAAAAAAAAAAAAAAAAAGACGACGTTGTAACTGGCTGGGCAGTGGTGGCACTCACACTCACCTTTAATCCCAGCACTCAGGAGGCAGAGGCAGGTGGATCTTTGTGAGTTCGAGGCCAGCCTGATCTATAGAGAGCTCCAGGACAGCCAGGGTTACAGAGAAATCCTGTTTGGAAAAACAAACACAACAACAACAAAAGTGTAACCAGGGGCTGGAGAGACAGCTCAGAGTTAAGAGCACTCACTGCTTTTGCAGAGTTCTGTTCTCTCTGTTCTCAGCACCCATCCATGCATGTCGAGCGGCTCAGAAGAGATTCTACCTCCAGTTCCAGAGGATCTGACATCCTCTTCTGGCCTCTGTGATCACGCATACTCATTTGGCATACACACATAATTAAAAACTCTTAGAAAAAAAGGATAGGTGAAAGAAGTGCTGATAGATTTTTGAGAAAAGAGGATTAGCAGAGGGAATGTCAAGTGTAAAAGTAGGAATGTGCCTGACTTTCTCAAAGAAAACCTGGCAGAAAGGCTACAGTATGATGAACAATAGGTAGTAATAGTTAATTACAAATAGTTAAGTAAAAAGAACAAGAGGCTAAATTATACAGCACCTCTCTGAGAAGGACCCGGCTTTATACCTTTGGAGAGGAGTTTCCGGAATTTCTGTGTGGTTGCTAACTGTAAGTCAGAATCATCAGAAAAGAGCATCTCCACCATCTCTCTTGTGATCACACTTTCCTAGAATATAAAATAGGTTTATGACCTTGTGGATAATAATAAAGCCAGACGAGAGCATGTAATCCTGCATGGCTTTCTACTTTTGAAGACCCTCAAAAGTAAGAGGATGACATAGTAGATCCGAGTCTGCTTTAAGATACAATATTTGAAAGAGATTCCGAATATGTGATGTAACCAATGACTTCCCTAAATGTTTTTTCAGAATATTTGCATCCTTGCTTAGTGGTTAAGCTGACTGATCACAAAAGGCAAGGAAGACCTTAACATGATTACAAAGACAGGAGATGGCATGGCTACCCGACTTCTGCTCTGAGAACAGCTATGACCATACCTTAAGGGACTTACCCCTGTTGTAGAGCTCACATAGGAGTCCATCAGCAGACTGTCGAACATGGCAGCCTCTTCGTTAATCAGCTCCACATTTCTACGTTTAAAAAGCTGAAAAGTAGAGTGAGGAGACAGAGCTAGCAATACGCAAAAACTGAAGAATAACCTGAAGATGGACAGCATGAGAAAAATGAGGCCAAACTTTAAGGAGATATGAAACATATTCAACAACTTTACTTTTTTTGTTTTTTGTTTTTTTTTTCTAAGACAGGGTTTCTCTGTGAAACAGTTCTGTCTGTCTTGGAACTCACTCTGTAGACCAGGCTGGTCTCAAACTCATAGAGCTCCATCTGCCTCTGCATCCCAAGTACTGGGATCAAAGGCATGTGCCACCACCCAGCAACTGTTTTACTTTTTATGTCATGTCTATTCACATTTTTGAGGGGAATTTTTCTTTTTAAGCTTTATGATCATTTGGTGTTTTGCCTACATGTACGCCTGTATGAGGGTGTCAGAAGTCCTGGAATTGGAGTTATCCAGTGCCAGTGGGTGCTGGGAATTGAACCTGGGTCCGCTGGAAGAGCAGCCAGTGCTCTTAACAACAATAGGAGCACACACACACACACTTTAAAGCTTTCTTTGCACTTTACGTAAATGGTGAGGGGTATGAAAATCTTTAAAAGAATATTACAGAGTAAGAAAGTGGGCAAAAGCAAGTTACACGATTGCACCTAGATCTGAGCAAGATACACTGGTGCTGCATGCATGGAACTGCAATGGTGCCGGTAGTCTCTGTCCAAGGCACTTGTTACACAGAACTATCTCGAGGGCAGAAGGCTAGAGACATGGCGTTGGGGAATATGCTTTACACCCTGTGAAGCTGTGTCACTGTGACTGGTTTAATAAAGAGCTGAAGTCAGGCAGTGGTGGCACATGCCTTTAATCCCAGCACAACAGCTAGGCAGGAAGAGGTGAGGTGGGACTTCTGGGGACAAATAACACTCGAAATACAGGTCTCCAGCCAGATGTGGAGAAAGCAGAATGGACAGTATAGAGAGATGATGTTATGAGCCAAATGACAAGAGTGTAGATGAAAACAATTTAAATTATAAGAGTTAGTAGGGAGATGGGTAAATCAGTTAAGTGCTGGCAAAGCAAACATGAGAACCTGAGTTCCAACACCCTCACACATACATGCCGGTAAAACACCAATGCACATAAAATAAAAATAAAACAAATTAAAAAAACCACAGACATTTGTTTACCTTATGATTCATAACGGTAACAACATTAGTTATGAAGTAGCAACTGGTTTTATGGCTGGGGGTTACTACCTGAGGAACTTATTAAGGGTTATTAGGAAGGTTGAGAATCACTGTACTAGGCAGAAAGATGAAGGCCAACTACAGAGCCTTGGCTAGCTTCCCTGATGTATGTTTGAGAACACTTCAGTTAACTGTTAACTTACTTGTTGTTCCCGCTTCTGTTTCCGAAGCTGAATGCCCTCTTCCTCCCTCCTTCGTCTCATTTCCTCAGGGTTTAAGGCATTGTTCTTATAGCTCTTCATTCGGTAATTGTCTTTCCCTGGGCTTGCCATGGTCTCTAGAAGGGAAGATATTTTTAGAGTTGTGAGACAATAGCATTTCCTTTTCATACATGGACAAACTATCAATAAAGAGAAATATAAGAAGATGACAAACAAGTTCTGGACCTGCAAGATGAAATGAAGAGTAGGAGCATCTCTGATTACTTTGGAAAGTAACTTAGGGACCCTCCAGAAAGTAGGAGTGCTTCAGAAACCTTGGCAAAGTCCACAGATTATCTTAAGAAGGGGGAGGGCCCACAGGCTGAAGCAGCCCTGGACAGCCGGCTCAGTGGTTAAGAGAATTTGTTGCTCTTACAGAGGACTCAGGTTCAATTTCCAGAACCAATATGGTGGCTGACAACCATCTGTAAGTCCAGGTCCTGGGGATTCAGTGTCATCGGAATGTACCATGCACACATACAGGCAAAAAACTCACACACATAAGATAAAACTAATCATAAGCAAACAAACAAAAAACCCAAAGCTAACAAGAAGAACTAGGGGAGACCTGCAGTGGTTAAAAGTATGTGCTGCTCTTATGGCAGTCCCAGGTTCAGTTCCCAGCACCCACGCAATGGTGCATAACTATCTGAAACTTCCGTTCCGGGGGATCTGATACCTCTGACAGCTCCTGCATACATGCAGGGCATCAGGTATAAAGACATTAAAACTAAAAATAAAAAAGTCAACAAGAAGCAAGCCATCAAGATGGCTCAGGAGGTAATGCTTCTTTCTTCCATCAAGCCTGATGATCTAAGTTCCATCATCAGGATCCACACTTGAAGGAGGGAGTCGACTGTTGTCCTCTGACTTCCACATACACACTATGCCATGTGTGCTCCCACCCTACCCCCAACACACAAAACTTTTAAGGACCTGCAGTGGCTTCTCCTATGGGTCCCTGAACAGGCAGAGGCAAGACTACTAAAGGCAAGCCCCTGTGGAATGCTGCCCTCTATTACCTGATACATAGTGTTTCATGACTGAGCCTGTGCTGTCCCCAGAGGCTGTCCTCTCCTTTGAGCACAGTTGACAGTTAAACTGAAATAGGAACCACATTGCTTCTTTAGTTACCATGGTGATAAGTAACTATCACAAATATCTACTTATGACTTCACTGGAGAAGCAGGCAAGAAAGAATAGAAGGATGAACATCCACAGTAACACATGAGAAAACTCATGTCACAAATATGCTTTTACCTCAAAGAGGGTATTTTATTTGTCCCCTCTTACTTAAGAGTTCCCTTTATCAATCATACCTGATTTTTAGAAACCCATTTTCATAATATAAAATTTTCTTTTACAGTAATTTTTCTCTCCAGACCAAAAGTCCAAGCAACAACAAATCTAAAGTTAATATGTGAGTCAACACCTATAACATCAAAACAATCAAATAAAAAAATCCCCAAAGTACAAAGTTAGTCATAATACTAGGACTTCAAGCTGGGTGGTGGTGATGCATGTCTCTTTAATCCCAGTACTTGGGAGGGAAAGACAGGCGATCTCAGTGAGTTCAAGGTCAGCCTGGTCTACAAAGTGAGTTCCAGGACAGCCAGGACTACAGAAAAACCCTGTCTGGAAAAAACAAACAAACAAAGGACTTGAAGGGTAGAATGCTACCAGAACAGCTTAAATTTTGTGTCTTTTGCTGGACAATCATGGCGCACACCAATACTCCAGAGGCAGATGGATCTCTGTGAGTTCAAGGCCAACCTGGTTTATCCACAAAGTGAGTTCTAGGACAACCAGGGCTGTTACATGGAGAAGCCGTCTTGAAAAACCAAAAATGTGTGTCTTTTGCCTGGTGAGTGGTACATGCTTTTTAATGCCAGCACTCAGAAAGCAGAGGGAGATCTCTGCGATGTTCTAGGCAAGCCAGGAATACAGTTAGGTGTTGTCTTAATAAACAAAAAGCTAATTTGTGGGTGTAGGGATACAACCTGTAATCTCAACACATACGTGTTAAAGCAAGAGAATGTAAATTCAAGTCTAGTTTGTTCTACATAACTCCAGACCAGCCAGGGCCATATAGCATGACCTTAGAGGGTAAGAGGCAGGGGAGGGGGAGAGGGAGAGAGGGGAGGAAGCTGTTAGAGTTCAATATTTCAAATAACTTAATAATGCATTAAAGATTTAGGAAAACAACACACATTTCCTAGATGAGTAGGAATAGAGATTACAGTAAAGAAATAAACAGTTGGCTTTACACAGAGAAACCTTGTCCTTGAATACCCAAAACCAAACAAACAAAATAAAAAAGATAAACCACTTGCTAGACTAAAAGAAAAAATAGAGATGAAAAAAAATAAGCCAGGTCTTGTGGTGCACGCCTTTAATTCCAGCGCTCAAGAGGCAGAGACAGGCAGATCTCTGTGAGTTTGAGACTAGTCTGGTCTTTACAAGAGCTAATTCCAGGACAGCCTCCAAAGCCAGAGAAAACCTGTCTCAAAAAAACAAAAATCCTTCGACATTCTATAAAGTTATTCTGACACCAAAATCATAACAAAACAAAACCTACAGACCAAGCCAGGCATGGCAGCTCACTTCTATAATCCCAGCATTTAGAAAGGGAAGCAGGAAAATCAATAATTCAAGGCCACCTTCTGCCACATAGTGATTGAAGGCCATCTTATCCTAAAGAATATTCAGAAAAACAAAAACTAATCAAATACCAATATGTATAATGAACACAGATGTAAAAATTCTCAAGAAAATTTCATCAAGTCAAAGCCAGCAACCCTGAAGAAATACACACCACAATCAAGTTCTACCCCAAAGATGCAAGGGTTGTTGCACAATAAATGACCCAGTGACAGATACTGGGGTTCAAGCTTCAAGTTGAAGACCAGAAAAGCAAAGCATCGGGGCACTAGTTCTCACTCTGCTTCAAACTGCTGCCTCTCCTCAATGTGGCTGAAGAACTAATCCCCCATAATGACTACTGAAGACCCTGGTCTTATCTTTTATACCCTCTAGTGCTGAGCTTAAAGCCATGTGATCCCAAGTGCTGAGATCATCTTTGTGTGAGGTGTTTCGGTTTAGAACTGATTAATCTTGTGTAGTTTTGGATGGCCTTGGACTTACAGAGAGATCCATTTACCTGTTAATCCTGAGTTTTAGGGTTAAAGGTATATACCACTACCTCCTACCTTTTGGCTGCCTGATCTCTATAGCTTGAGGCTGACTTTACTTTCAAAATTCTCAGGCAAACTTTAATAAATCCCAAATAATATATCCCCACAGGGTGGTTCAACTTATGCAAATCTATGTGACACCATACTAACAGAATAAAGAAGAAACACCTTATGATCATTTCTGATGCAGTAAAAGCATTTCATAACATTATACATCACTTCAAGGTAAAAATTCAACAAAGTAGATATAGAGAATGTGATGATGTGATGGTTAATCTCAATGTCAACTTGATTGCATCTGGAATCAACTAAGAGATACTGCTTCTGAGCCCATTTCCAGAGACAACGAACTGAGGGGAGCCTTCCAAAAGATGGCTCAGGTGAAAAAGCAGTGTTGCTTGCCTGCATTCATCCATTGCTTGTGAATACACTTATCCCAGTTGGTACTGCTGCTGCTATCCTTCACTGACATCAGATGACTTCAGCTTCTTCAACCTTCCAATCTGGACTCAAACCAGTGACTCCCTCCCTAGATTCCAGTCTTCACTCCAAGCCTTTAGCATTAGGGTGGAACTGCTGAGGATCTAGCTTTGTTTTTTTCCCTTTAAGAACTTTTTTTTTAATTAAAAAAATGAAATTATGTGGATATGTGTATGTCTGAGTGTGGGTATCTGGACATGAATACAGTGCCCCAAAGGCTAGAAGAGGGTGTCAAATTCCCTGGGACTAGAGTTACAGGTGGTTGTTGGGAACCCAGTTCTCAAGAGTATGTACTCTTAACTGTTGAACCATCTCAGAAGCCCCAGAGGCATCCAGCTTTGTGTGCAGCTACTGCTTTCAGCCTTTCTGCTCTACAGACACCCACTGGTGGGCTATCTAGCTCCTACTGTGTAAGTAAGGCACTGTGAATGTTTCCTCTGACACTGAAAATCCTACCGTGCTGGGAAGCTCCTTCAGGAAATCCCCAAAACTGATCAGATTTACTATGTCCCTCCTTGCCAGAGTACTACTATAAAAGCTGAGAGTCCCTTTGAGACTAGGGAAACAGCTTTAAACTCTGAGACTCTGAGAGCAGACTAGCTGCCTGGAAGAAACAGAAACTACCTAGCTGAACTACCTAGTTTAGACCAGAATCACCCAGAAATGACAATCACTAACTAGTTGAGCTGCCTGCAGGCCTATACAGTGTGCTCCAGGTTCCCAGCTTTGGGAGCCATCACCCATACCTGGGTGGGCTTTGATGATGCAGCTGTCTTTGAGCCATTTTTGCTCCTGTAAGTAACTCTTCACCTATCCTCATGTAAGTAACCCTAAAACTCACTGGTTCACCAAGTTGGACTTTGGTGGTATCCATACTTTGGTTTGCTGTTTATCCCTATCTAGAGGGGGGTAGTTTTTCATCAGGAAACGTTTTATCACACAACAAAAATTCTATTGAGCCTCCTGGTGTATGCACATTCTATTGATTGCACCTCTAGAGAACCCTGACAAATACAGAAGGGAGAGACTTCAACATAGTAAAAGCAATGTACACCAAACCTACAGCTAAGATCATATGGAATGGGAAAAAGTGTTCCTATAAAATCTAGAATGAGACAAGAATGTTCACCTTCACCACTTATTTAATTAGGCAAAAGAAAGAACAAAAGCCATCTAAGACTAGTAAGGTGGCTCAGCTGGGTAGAGGTGTTCATTGCCATGCCTTAGTTCCCTGGACCTACATAGTGGAAGGAGAGAATTGACGTGCACAGATTATCCTGATTCCCACATGTGCTCCAAGCCCACACTTGTGGGCCACACACAGAAACTGAATGTACTAAAATTTTAAAATTAACTTTGAAAAGGTCATCCAAATTGGAAAGGGGTTATCTCTTTGTAGAAGG